TGCTTTCGTTGTCAAATGGAAAAGAAAATTATCTGTAACCACACCAGATCTCAACCAGCTAAATGGGTTTTTGTCTGACACGTGGTGCCATACCACTATTTGTGCTGAGAATTAATCCAATGTCAAAGCCACTTTGGTAAGTTGATTAAATGATCATCTTCCTTGTTTCTCAAATTGCTGGCTGCTTTGTTTTAATGTCTTATACATTCGTGTGAGTTGTGATGACGCAACTTACACACAGGTTGTTAAACTGACTCAGTGCTACGTCATGGCTGACTTTCTTTGAGATATAAAAGCAACATTATTCAAATTGAAGTGTCACCATCTTGACTAAAACTCATTTTAAAATATTAAATAATGAAAACTGGATAAACAAACAAATGCAAAGAGGATTACTGGCTTCGGATTTATCATATGACAAAGTACACAGATGAGAAAAAAGATTTTTGTACTTTGTGCACACTGATGCGGTGGAGTAGTTATGAGTCAAATGATGCATCGTCACGCAATTGGTTATCGCCACTAGAACAATGGAAGTGGTTTTATAAAGTGATGAAGCTTATTATTAGCATATGATGTTCACCTGAAAAGCTCTGAAAGGCAGATGGGGTGACTAATGTTGTCATACATTCTGAAACGTTAAACCTGACATCCTTAAGACCATATTTATTTAGAGCCACACAATTTACAAAACAAATGATTTGCATCATTAAGATGATTTATATTTTTTTTCTCTTTTTAAATATGTTGTATTTGTGTGGCGCTGTACAGTTCAGTATGTGCCTTAATTACAGCATGTCTCTTATGTGGTAGGCAAAGCCACCAAACTAGAAAAGTCACTTGCTTTCTTCCTTCACATTTTTTTTTTTTGAAAGCAGAGTTAAAAAAAAAAAAAAAAAAAAAAAAACCTTCAGGCTAAGGAAATACTTCATTCATTTATGTCTGGTAACCATATATTTTACGATAGATTTCAACAGATCATTTGAATTCATTCATGCATGTGTATGACATTTATATTGTAACAAAAATATAGTTTCTTTTTATAGTAAAAAACAAAAGACAGGGAAGTCTGCTTGTGTGCCATTTCCGCATACATCCTACCTCGTAGTCACACCTTAAAATATTGCTGAACTGAGCTTTGATTTAAAGGTAAGACAGTGTTGCCACACTGATTGTCCTTCAGGGTTACAATACCTTTATGCAAAAACCAAGGACCTTGTCAAATGCTAATCCCAGAGATTGTCATGTGGGGTAAATAATGTCTCAATCACTATTAAATCCGGGTAGTCGACTGGTTAGCATGTCAGGTTCACACTGCAGAGGTGCAGAGTTCGATTATGGCTGTAGCCTTTCCTGTGTGGCGTTTTCATGTTCTCCCCGTGCCTGCGTGGGTTTTCTCTGGGTACTCCGGTTTCCTCCCACATTCCAAAAACATACATGACAGGTTAATGGAACACTCTAAATTGTCCCTGGGTGTGAGTGTGAGCACGGATGGTTGTTCGTCTCTGTGTGCCCTGCGATTGGCTGGCAACCGGTTCAAGGTGTCCCCCGCCTTCTGCCCAAAGACAGCTGGGAAAGGCTCCAGTACGCCCGTAACCCTTGTGAGGATAAGCGTATTAGAAAATGGATGGATCACTTTTAAATCCGAGAACCTGACAGTTATCAGGGAAGAAAAAGAAATCCACTGATGTGAACAACTGCCTCGGAATTGGACAGCTTGTCGTCAGTAGGGTCGCAGGTGAACTGGAAATTAGCAGATCTGACTTTAGGAGAGAGGAAGAGTAAACGATTAATTCATACTATATGGCAGTGCGGGGATTCACAATGTGTGAGTGAGAACTGTATGTCACAAGAGAAAAGAGGTGCATGCAGAGAATGAAGGGCACATTGGGTGCAAACTCAGAATAATAACGGTGGACATAAATAAGTCAGTGCACCCCTGGTCAAATGCCAGGCATTTGTGGTTTGAAGAAACAAGACCAAGATAAAACACTTCAACAACCTTTCCACTATTATTGCAAAATCGGTAGAAATCAATCAATTTCATATCAATACAATCAATACATCTACAGTACACACACACACACACACACTAATAAATAGATTTCTGGAGGGGGCATGACAACAGTATTTTTTTCGCCCAACTCAGGCCAGATACAGTACTAGGGCACAGCTAATTAACTGCAGCAACCTCATTGTTTCCTCGTTTGAGGTGTGCCTGGAGGGGTTCCATCTGATTGGGAAACATTTGCAACAGGTTATTTTCCTTTCCGAGCATCGTGCATAATTTCCTTGTTAGACCTGGAGTTCCATTATCCTTCAGCATCATGAGCATTCAGCATGCTAGCAACAAGGAAGCAGCCAAAAACAATATTTGGCAAGGTTTGACCTATGCTATTTATCTGTATTTTATTTTTTATTATAAGTAAATTTCCAACACTGGAGGATTGAGTCAAGGATTTACATTAGCTGCTATTTAGTCCCTAAACTCTTCTGCACTCATATTGTGACTTAAAATTTCCTTGCCTTCTTAATAGAGCCTGACCGTCATTGGATTTCTGGAATCGAAGCCCATACCAATATTCAAGACAAAAAAAAAAAAACACAACAAAAAAACGTATGAAAAGTAACAGTAGCAAACATTACTCCAGCAACTCCCCGCGACCCTATTCAGGTTAAGTGGTGTTGAAAATCAATGGATAGATGTGTCTTTTTTTTTTAATGCTACAAGAGCTATGCCGACATTCTCTTTGCGAACTACTTGTAGTTCACAAGCTATCTAATGGGCATCACTGAGCTAAATATTAGCTGTGTATTTATTTCCATTTGCAGATGTCCAACTCCGCCGCCCAAATTAAAATATACATTTAATACAATAGATCGTTATTTATAAAGCGATTTCACAACAGCTGCAGCTGTAACAAAGCGCTTTACAGAAGTTACCATCCATCCATCCATCCATTTTTCAATCCACTTATCCTCACAAGGATTACGGGCGTACTGGAGTCTATCCCAGCTGTCTTCGGGCAGTAGGCGGAGGACACCCTGAACCAGTTGCCAGCCAATCGCAGGGCACACATAGACAAACAACCATCCATGCTCACACTCACACCTATGGACAATTTAGAGTGTTCAATCAGCCTGCCATTCAAGTTTTTGGAATGTGGGAGGAAACCGGAGTTCATGGAGAAAAGCCACGCAGGCCAGGGGAGAACATGCAAACTCCACACAGGGAGGCCAGAGCTGGAATTGAACCCAGGACCTCTGCACTGTGAGGTCGACGTGGTAACCACTGGTCCCCCGGGCCGCCAGAAGTTACCATAAAGTAACAAAATATCACAGAACACAAGATAAAACATGGAGAGTCATACAATCATAACAACTATTCTTGCATACGCCTTGTTGTGTGAAGCAGTTGTCCTTTCACGAGTGGATCAGAAACGCCATGCTCAAAACGTGCATGACGTCCCACAAGTTGGCTACAAGCTAAATTTGAAAGTAAACAAGAAGCAGTCGCTTCCATTGACGATAAAAGAAATTGGTTCATATCTCCTGTCAATTTTAGATTGGCTTCAATTCCAAGTGGCGACTCTCAGTTCCAAATACGCATCTGCGCTCCACACATCTGCGCTCTACTCATCCTTGGCTCCACCAGCCGTCTATCCAGCCGCACTACGCAGACTGTCCAACAGCACCTACATCTCTGCTGAACAAAACTGGATTGTGAAAAATGCATTACAGGCACAAAAAACGGCCCGGGGCTTTTCATGCAGCGACAATCACATAGCGCCGACATGACCCTCCCATCAAAATCAGTGCTGATAGACATATGCGGCCGAGAAGGCACAACCATCAAACACAGATTGTTCTCCTTCAAATGTACTGGCCAAAACGCTGAAAACAGTCCAGAACGGGTCCACACAAAGGACAACAAACACCATATGACAAAAACAACAACAATAAAAAAAAAAAAAAAAGTAGATATCTTGAAGAGCTCTTGCAGACGGCTGCTAAGGCGCCATTTTTGACATTACTGTAGATCTGACCATCATGATTGCCTCATGAATTGTTGGCCAAATAATTAAAGTTCATAGAGATGAATTGTGGCAGAGCATAATGGGATCTAAGAATACTTGGTGAAAATGACCGGTGAGCCACATGTATCAAAATATCCTCAACATTGTTGCCCTTACAAAAAAAGTAGTATATCAGACGTATGCTTTGTAAAGGACACTTGAGTTTAAGTATATAAAGTGTACCTTTTTCACACTAAATTGGAATAAATTAAGTTTTAAAAAGTACACTATATATCTGCCTGTATCCTTTTCACGACAAGCCAATTATACATAAGCATACGTCTGCTAAGTTTATAAAAAAAGATATAGCATTTAGAAAGTAAACTTAAATTATACTGCCTCCAATTTAGTATGAAAAAAAAACTACTCAAGGTATACTTGAATAAACTACTTTTTGCTAAGGGTAGCGAACTGATGGCTTCAAAATGTGCGAACAAGTACATTTAGTGAATGTTTTGTACATTTATAATAGCGTGTTATTACATCAGTTTCAGTTTTTCATATTGGACTTTTTGTTTCGTTCTATTTCAATATCGTATGTTACGTTCGTCATGTACCTGAAGTATGATTTACCAAAACAGACAATATGAGGAAGTTTACACCCTCTGCTGCCATCTAGTGACTGTTTTGCAAACGGTTTACTGGTATCTGGGCTCGGCTCAGAAGAGAGAGAGAGAGAGAGAGAGAGAGAGAGAGAGAGAGAGAGAGAGAGAGAGAGAGAGAGAGAGAGAAACACACCCTACGTATTATTGTTGACTTGCCACATACAATATGGCGGATGCGCGGACGTGAAACAGTAGCGCCTTCCCGCTAAATTAATATATTTAACTATCGTCTTGCTTCACTTTGGTGCGTTAAACTACATCGGGGCTTTGATAAATAACTAGTAGAAAATCTATAATCTCTTAAAATTTCGTTCTCATCATATGGGAAATGACGTATAGTTTTATTTGCGACCTTTTTTGATGCACGTTGAGACGGATAACTTCCGGAGCGTCAGACAAATAAATACAAGTCATCTGGTTCTTATTCTGTCCTCTCCTTACATCATGTCGACTTTTGGGTTTGTCGTTGTTGTCCTAACGGTGTCTCTACACCCTGGTAAGATGAATTGACATTTTAATGTCAGCATCCATCATCACCTCACCTGCCTCCGGCGAGCACTGTTGATAAATGTATAATTCTATACAAAGTGGGATGCTGTTTATTTATTTATTTTTATTCGGAATGATTAATACACGAGTTAACAATTTGTCAGCTTTGTCATTCTGTATGTTCATTTGATAATTTTTAAAAAAATATATCCTGTATTTTTTGTTTTGGGTTCTAAGGACACTCCATGTTCATCAAAGACCCTCTGGCATTCGAGAAACACAATTCTCTGGTAAGTCTTTTTTTTTTAAAGAATGCTACTCGATTGCTTAACATATGTGCTTATTGAGTGTTACAGCAAGCCCACCAAAATACACCAATATACTAGTTTGGCTTCCACATTTTATCATGTATCAGTAATAATTTCTGGTTTTGCCATCTTGTTGTCAGAAGGCTATCTGCTCAGAGTGCAGCCAGATCATCCAGCTATCTGCCAACATGATTCCCAGCAAAGATAGTAAGGTGCTGATTGCTCAAATTACTCTTTTACTGAAAAATGACCTGATGAAAATGTGGCTTTTGCAACCAATTACTTTACACACATTCCAAGTAGTCTTGTTTGAGTGCTAATTGCATTTTTCCGTGATTTTCCAGGAGCGCGTGTATGAAACCTTGTATGCACTATGCCAGCAACTCCCGGACAAACAAGCATTGGAATGTGACTCTCAGTTGAAGATGGATTTGCCCCAAATCCTGCTGCAACCACTTAATCACAGGGTATGTTTTGTCCTCTCATGAGAGAAGTGAACAATTAGAATTGAGTTTTACGATGAGGTGTGATTCCCTTTTCTAGGACGGGAGAGGTATCTGCTCGGCTTTTGGGCTGTGCGCTGTTCACAAGGATGAGGAGATTGCACTTCCCCAGCATGACAATAGGGAAGTTGTACCTGTGCTCACCAACACGCACGTGAGTATGAAAACGCAGAAGTGGAATGTATGCCAAACATTATGACCCCTTTGCACAATCTAACGAGAAAATATGGACAAATGGGAGAACGGGTTAGCTAGGAAAGGATAAGCATGATAGAAAATAGAGGGATGGATGATGAACAAACCTTGGCAAACGTTGAAGTCATGCTTAATCATGCTTTGCCCAAATTAAATGACAAACGCAAAAAAAAACATTAAAAAAAAAACGCTTGGCACTATAGCCTAGCTCAGCTGTCTATGATACAGGACAAGAAAAATTATTTTGCTGCTACACACAAAGTGAATGAAATAAATGAAAATTGATTTTTTTTTTTTTTAAAAAGGGAAAAACTATTGTTCATTCATTACACATTTGTCATATTTTTTATCATTTAATAAAACTCTTGCTTTGGTTCCCTAGGATTAACTTACAAAAAACAAACAAAAAAATTCTCCACAATGTTAGAAAGTTGTTCCTCAAATTAAATCATTGATTTGCAAAACTGCTCCATAAAAAAAAAAAAAAAAAAAAAAAAAAAAATGCATTTTCATGTGGCTCGAATGTGTAGTGGTTATGCCCTACATAGCGTCCTCAATGTATCTGAAAAAGTAGTGAACAGTGAACAGTCTTTTCTACATCTTTTCATCCAGGAGCAGTTCAACCCAGCTTGCACCCTGTGCCTGTTTGTCATCAAGAAATTGGAGACCCTGTTGCCTCAAAACATGACTGAGGTCTGTTTCAGTCTCTGTTTTTGCTGTCATCCTTTGTTGCGTCTATTGTCTGTCACCATTTTTTTTCTTCCCGCAGGATGCGTTGATGAAGCTCATGGGCGAGGTCTGCGATCTCCTCCCTCAGAGCTACAAGGATGAGTGCGATGACTTTGTTGACAAATATGGCGTACAGATAGTGGAGTTCCTGCTGTCTTCGGCCGCCCCTCACACCATATGTGCACTGCTGCACATCTGTTTGTTCAGGGACTCTAATGCGCTGGGTGAGTAGCAGCTTCATTGACAGGAATACTCTATTTCCAACTTTCTCACCCAGTTGCGATGCTGTGATAACTTCCCAGACGTTCCCGTCCCCTCGGACTGCGATTCATGCCGTACGCTGGCTGTGCTGAGCCGACTTCAACTGGGTGTCAACGCCACAAAACCTGAGACATCCTCCTTCCTGCGGTCTGTGTGTGGTCGTCACCCCAATGCCATCCCAAAGGTGTGACTCTTAGCTCACAAGATGTTTCAAATCTCCATTTGGCTTGGGTTCTAATGTTCTTACGTGGCTTATGTACTGTAGGTACGCTGGCTAGCATCCAAGCTCCCAAAAAATTCCTGTTATAATAATTGGAGTCAAAACTGCCTGTCGGGGTCAATGTCCCATTACGTCAATAAGTTATTGTCTTTTTTTTGTTGTTGTTCAGTGTGAGGCGTTCACGAAAATCTATGGCACAAGACTGCAGGAGGTTTTGGAAAACCAGGTGGACCATGTAGACATTTGTGAAGTAAGTGCAAAGTGCAAACCACTTCACAGGACTGAAGTTACATTTGTATTGAAAAGTCACAGAGTTATGATGCAAAAACTTAATCGACCATTTTTGTGCCATTGTGCAGTTTGTCATCACTTTTGTCTGTCATTTTAGAGAGCTGATCTGTGCACTACAAAAAAGTCAAAGCTGGTGGGAAGCAATCCGTGCACTTGGGGGCCAAGCTACTGGTGCAGAGACACAAACACAGCTCAGAAGTGTGGTGTAAGTTATAGATGCACACATGCACAAAGTGCAGGGAAAGAGATTAATTTGTAGATATGGTTGTTGCAAACACGATTCAACATATATTTCACCTATTTCCAAAGCTTATGGATGGGCACCATGCTAATGGAAGGCGGGGGGCTACCACTAGGTGGCAGTATTGTATAATCCTCACAGAATAAGTGCAACTGTCCTCATTTAACATGCAGATCTTTTGAAGTGTATCCAATATTAAGTGGAAAACTGATTTGATCAAAACTTATCTTTGTAGAGGTAGTCTTGGCTAATTGCTTGCATCTCCTAAAATCCCTCTGACAGATTGGCTTGCACTTGAGTATTTTACTTGCATTATCACTATTTAACCTCCAACATTCCCATTGGTTTGCCATCTAGAAGCATGTATTTAGATTTCTCTTCTTAATTGATGGTGTGCCTGTGTTCTCCTTTCAGAACGTGGCCTTCTGTGAGAAGCACTTGTGGAAGAAGTGAAAAGCTCTTAATCGACTACATGCATGTACACGCACAGTCACACAAATTATTTGCCTGATAATCTTAACATTTTTGTAATGTCGTTTTTTTTTTTTCACCTCCCTATGTTTGTCTGCATGAAAAATATGACTTGCAGCTGGGATTGAATTACAGTCACCACTTGTTCAGTTGTCTTCTGATCAAAGATTGTGGAAATAGTCTGTGGCTAATATTAAATGTCTTCAGATGATTGAAAGGCAATGGGAAGAGCTACCGGTATATGGTTTTTGCACAGCTGGGGCAGAAGAATGTTTATTTAGAAACATGAACATAAAAACACAAATACTGGAAAAAATTTAAAAATGTGATTTTTTTCTTTTTTTTTTTTTCAGTCACAAAAAAAAAAAAAAAAAAAAAATCCTGTTACTGTTTTGTGATGCTCCTTTTAACCACTACGCACCGGTGTGGTTGTTCATGTCCTTATCATTCTCCTGTCGCTTCCAAATCTATAAGACATGAAAATGGAATCTATCTATCTGAATAGCACTGAAGAAAAAAATAAGCCCTATACCCTTGTTGATTTGTTTGTCCAGTGGAGCCACAAAGGTTGAACACAATGAATTCCAAAATGCTGGCGCCCAATTTGTCGTGATTTCAAAATATTTTTCCGTCTGCACCAGGGTCCAACTGAGTATTACAAACTGATCTTGTACGGGCCAAGTGTTAACAATAAAATTGTGTTTCATGATAAGGCTGGCTACTAAGGTCATTTGAATTATAGATGTAGCTTGGGATCTCGCAATTCATTTTTAGAATTAATCTTTTAATCTCTGTTTGGCTGAGGTTTTGCAAGATTAGCCAATCTTTCCCGTCGCACATGATTTTTTTTCATTAAAATGTTACGGGCATTCAACTTGAGAGGTTCTACTGGACATGATATAATCTTCAGACATTTCTGTAAAAAGTAAATGAGTGGATGAGCCTGTCACAGCCATCGCTTCTGTTCTATCGTGTACATTTGTATCTGTTGAAAAATATGTAATATTGTTGCAGAATCACAATGGTGACAAATCTCTGAACTCAGTACTCACAATAAAAACTGTATGGATAACTATTATGTAATAGAACTTGAGCAACACCGACACACGTAGACGGCTCACCTGGATATAGGCCTCCGATAGAGTGATCATCTGGGGGAGGATGTCGATCACCTGCAGATCCTGCATCTCATACCACTTCCCAGTTCCCTGATGGGACACAAACGTGTGGTCAGCAGAACAGAGACCAATCAAGATTTTATACACAAAACACTGCTCGACCTTGTATAGTGAGTGCCGTTATAATGTATTCATAGCCCTTGAACTTTTGTCACATTTTGCCACCACCCGACCACAATTCAAAAAAAAAAAAAAGATTTTATGTGAGCAAACATTAAAAAGTTGCACATAATTGTAGAACGGAAATGACACATAGTTTTCACAATTTTAAGCATAAATCTGATCTGATTGTACTCAACCCTCCTATCGCAATGGTTTGGCGAGCCACCTTTAGCTGCAATTACAGCTGTGTGTCTTTTCACATGTGGACTGTGACAATTTTGCCCATTGTTCTTTGCAAAACAGCTCAAAATGGAGAACATCCGAGTCTTGACACAGACACTTTTCACAGTGGGGTGGTGCATTCAGGGTGATGAGCAACAGGGCGCTTTGCATTTAGGCCAAGAAATTCAACTTTGGTCTCATCTGACCGAAGCATCTTCCTTCCCCATCATGTGTGCAGTGTGCCCGAAATGGTTCGAGGCAAAATGCAAAAGGGACTTCTTATACCTTTCTTTCAACAATGGGCATTATTCTCGCTGCTCTTTCATAAAGATCAGAGTAATTGTCCTGTTGACAAATTCCCCCATCAGAGCTGTGGATTACTGCAGCTCTTGTAGTCCTGTCCATTAGTGGACAGCCATATATTGCTAGGTGTGCAGTCGTGGCATAGTTTTGCCATTGTTGGATCACATATTTATAACCTAACCCTGTATTAGACTTCTCTCCAACTTTATTCCTAACGTGTCTGGTGAGTGCCTTCGTCTTTTTAATGCTATTGGTCACTAATGTCCCGTATTAAGCTGCTAAGGCCTTCAAAGAACTTGTGTATTTATGCTGAGGAAAACACTAGTCTATTGATTGCGGTGGATTGTATTTAAGCGTATCGGAGCTCAGGGGGCTGGTTACAAATACATGGAATACTTTTCAAGTTTACTGTATCTCTACTGGTGTTTTTTTTCTTGAAAAACGTATTTCTGTTTTTTTTGTACCACTTCACTATTTAAGTGCTCGTTTGATTTGGTCCGTCAAAGAAAATCTCAACAAGCAGATTTAAGTTCGTGACGGTCCCAAAATGGGGGGGTTCAAACAAGGTACTATACATCTTTAGGCTACACCTACATGATGCAGGACGTGTATCCTGTAGGCTCCTTCAGTTGGTTTCCCATCATGCACCACATTGGCAACCAGGTCATACGTGGTGTTCTTCTCCGTGACCTGGGCTTCTTCTGTCAAGTACTCACGAAGATCTACATTCCTGATTGAGAGAACACAACACGAACATTTGAAACCACTCAGTTCAATGATGTCCTATTACTCACACGTTTGGTGATGGGCATGTACGATTCCTTGACTCAACACCTTGGCCTGTACGCAAGGCTGGAAACACTTACGTGATGGGGAAGTTGACGATGGTTGGGTTCTTCTCCACAAAGAAGTTATTCTTTGTGAACCTTTTGATGCAAAAGATGAGGTACGGTGGGAGTTTGGTCAACTGGAACCTTTTCAGAAAATTCTCCTTATAGGTTTTGTACTCCTGGAAAACATCAAACGGAATGCTGCTTTTTAAACAAATATTGACCTTTTTCGAGTCAGTCAAATCTCCTTTGGAATTGCCTTTTTCTTCTGATCTCTTTCGGTCACACCCTCCTTCATTACACAAATATACATCACCTGATGTGTCCATACCTAATCAGCATGCCTTCTAGCTTGAAGTTATTCAATAATACAAATGGAGTGCAAACACTTACTGGCCAAATAATTGTGCACACGGTATAGGTTAAACCACTGATGAACTGTTGTTACCTTCTCTGTGCTGCCATTGAACTTGCCCAGAATGTTGAAGAGAGGGACTTGTGGTATGATAAGCTGCTCCTTCTCATCCTTGTACAATGGAGCCGTTGGGAGGTCAAGGGTCAGGAACAAAAACGTGGACTCTGACATCTGCTCCTGGTACTCGTCGGTCAGGAGCAGCGCCTCCTTCTCCTCTGGTGTCTGGAAGCATTTAAACATCATGAGAATTCATCAAATGAGTAGAAAAGTAGCCGAAGTGGGGAAGTAGAGTGGTGCACTTTTTACAGACCATCATACACTTCAAGGGGAAATATTTAGTAACTATTACATTTCTTTGTTTCTCGTATTTTGGTGGTTAAATCACGGGTGGGCAAAGTATGGCCTGCTCCGTTCTTTTCATCAGGTCCACCGATCCCTTAATAACAGTTGCCTTGTTTTTTTCCCCCCTAAAATGTGTTAGTGTGAGTGTGCAGTAATTTTCTATTCAAGTACTCATTTCTCTAATGCAGGGGTGTCAAACTCATTTTTGTCGTGGGCTGCATTGTAGTTACGGTTTGACTTGGAGGGCCGTTATGAATTTTGGGAAACCATATAAATGTTTAACCACCTCCACATATTACATACACAGCACACAACAAATTGATGAATAACTAGTTTCTAAAAGAAGAAGTCAAGAATAATGACTGTTGTTGTGGATTACATATGACAATTTGAAATTTTGGTTCAGACTTTAGCAAGCATCATGGAACTTGACATGCTTGATTTGCTTTCACGGGCCACATAAAATGATGTGGCGAGCCAGATCTGGCCCCTGGGCCTTGACTTTGACACCTGTGATATAATGAAACAATTTGTCATTGTGGTTTGTTATAAATTAAAAATGTGGTTTAAAAAAAAGATTCTGTATTTGTTTTTTGTTTTGTTTTTTTTTTTTTACGATTGTTGAGGCAATTATATTTCATCCATCCATCCATTATCTGATCCACTTATCCTCATGAGGGTCACGGGCATGCAGCCAAGCGCAGGGCACACAAAGACAAACAACCATTCGCCCTCACAATAACACCAACACAGAATCTTAAGAGTGTTCACTGAAACCATCATGCATGTTTTTGGAATGTGGAATGAAACAGGAGTACCCAGAGAAAAACCACGCAGGGAACATGCAAACTCCATACAGCGAGGCCAGAGCGGGACACAAACCTATGACCTCTGCACTGTGAGGCAACCGCGCTTACCAGTCAACCACTGTGCCAATTACTATTCAATCATTTCTAAATAACATTATAATGTGATTTACTGATTTAAATCGTGTATTTTACATACACTTTTTTAGTTTTATTTACCTCATTTACAATGACCTATTTGTTCATTTCAAAAATCAAATGCGGCCCTTGAGCACAAATGTTTGTCCCACAATACTCACAAGATCTGGGTGTGGTAGCTTCTTTGAGAATATCCGCATGGAACCTTGGAACGCTTTTGTCAGGATAGCTGTATGGAGGAAAAAAAAAAGCAGGATTACATTTATGGTTTTGCAAAATAAAGAGATACTTATGTATTGCCTCCCCACTCACTTGGCTTTTTCTTTGTACCTCCAAGAGCACCATGCAGCGCATTCAAAAACCATGTCATGAAGTCCACAGCGTCTCCTACAGAACACACATCACAGGCCTGCAGTCAGTGCCAAGGAAAAGCATTGCATTCAATCTATATAGCACAAAATTGTGACCTTGCTTGGTGATTTGGAAGTTCTTCTTGCTGCACAGCACCACGGCCTGGAGCATCTCATGAGGAGACACGTGAGCCTTGAAGTTTCTCGGATTCCAAAGTTTGCGCATCAGCTCACCAAAACGCTGCACCAGGAGGAACATGATGTCCCCCGGTGGTCTGCGGATACCTCGATAGTTTTCCTCCTCGAGAAAGTAGTTCCGCAGTGGCGGGACGTTGGAAAAGGCCTTGAAGAGACAAAGCAGGTTAAGTACAACAACAACCTCTCGGCAATCAATGTTCCATAAAATGAAGAAATGTCACTCATACCTGCAAGACCACATTCGCGTAGTCATTGGCTTTAATGTTGTTGAGGCCAACAATGCCTGGCAGATAAGTCGTGCCGTCATAGGCCCTGTAAAGTTTGCCCTGCTTGTCCAAACCCGAAATGTGCGGCTTGGTGAATGTTGGTTTCAGCACATACTGTGGAAGTAAATGAGAAGTAATTTCTGAACCACCTCAGTGAAAAGATGGTAGAAAACAAATGATCATGCGCAAAGTCAGAGAAGTACATCTGCACTGAATACCCGCAGAAGATAATCACATACAAGATGAAAAATTATGAATTTACAAAGACAATAAAGGCCAAGTATTGAGGTATTAATTGAAGATATTTATTACGAGTTTTGAGTTGTAGTACTGCATAACTGTACTGTCTGATACACAGGTGAGTTTCATATTCTACACTGCTCAATGTATGAGTTTGACAAGTAAGCTTCTTACCAATTTTGCAGTGAATAGCAATTATCAGACTTGATGATGAAATGTACCTCTGCTGGAATTCTTGTGAATTGATTCCTCTTTTTAAGTGAGAATTTAGCTTTGTTAATCATCTTTGCAACATGAATGAATTTGTGGTCAAACCTAATTTGTAACTCACGGCCCATATTTGTGGCTGGGAAAAACATTTGCTGGGGCAAGATGGCCATGACAAAAGTGAGGCTGTTGCTGTGGCGAATTCTGCATCAATTGACCACATCAGGTCTTGAGGAGAACCACTTTCCGTGAGGCATCTACCTGTGGTACATTGTTCATTAAACTGACTCTCAGTCTGTTTAAACCAGCATTGTGTCATGTCATATGATTAATGTTGCCCACGTGGCATTTTTGCAGCATGAAAATTGAATGCCTTTATCTGTGATTCTGCCTGTAGGGTTCTTACTTTTTTCCCCTAAATCAGTTTTCTACATGTTTCCTTGACTGGACAGGGGGGGTTTAGACCTGCGGATGTTGATCATCTTTGTGAACTGGGGGCTTGCAAAGCCGACTTGTTTTGTGATTAAAGGCTCTGCATATAAACTTGACTTGGCCTTAGAAAATGGATGGACGTTATTCTGGCACAAAATGAACACATCCTTATCCTTGGTGAACAAATTGCTAACTCACCGTAATGTCTTCTAGTGAAGAGTCAATGATCTCATAGTTGTCAGGCAGACAATAAAACTTGAGTGTGTGCAAGTTGAGGAAGACATGGTGGGTGAACTGTACACTGTGGGTGTACGCGTGGGATTTCAAACCTCGACCTACACAGGGAAGTAAGTGGCAAGTAAGTACAATTTAATAACTAGAAAGTGATGTTTCATTGAGATAATGCACAGACCCTGAAAGTATTTCCCACATATGAGGCAGGCATAAACGTTGATGTGTGACAGGGAGATGGAGCAGAGCTTCTCAAAGTCGAAATCCAGCACACTCCTGAGGGACAAACAAAAAAAGTATGGGATGAGCTAGCGAACTTGCTAGCTTTCAGCACTGAGATCTGTACACAACTGAATGCATCTTGCCTGTTAATGGTGTCAAGATACGGACAGTGACGGCTTCTTCTGTCCTCCGCAACACGACCTCGTCTTTTTATGACTGGCACTGCAACATGAGGTGAAGCAAACAGGTGTTGAATTGTTTCATTCATTTCAAGGTTCACACTGGCTAGCCAAGTACGCTAGTATGCAATAGCAGATGGGAAACTAGCATGTAAATAAATGTCAGTGTTTTGTTTTGTTTAGAATATTAACAAGACTATTTGTTGATAATAATGTGGGACTGGGCCAAACTGTATTAAAACTATCGCGAGTAAGAAATGCGTTGACGTTAGCAACGTGCTAGTCCAAAGAGCAGAATGAATGTTGTAACTTATTTTCCCCCACCGTCCTCGTTATCTTCGTCGTCCACGTCGTCTTCTCTTTCTCGCTTCAGAGAATCCATTGCCGTTATCATAATGTAGGTTATTGTTGCAAGCAGAGAGATCTCACGACTAAAACCTTATTTCACACAAACCAATCGGTCGAACACGAAACGCGTCGAAGCCCGCCGTGCTACGTCACTAACTGCGACAAAAAGATTCTGCCGGTATAAAAAAACAACCAATAGTTTACTGGAAATTATAAATCCCCATTATAAATAAAGGCATCTAATTTCGTAAAACAAAGACATTATTACGGGACATATTTAAACCGTTAAAAGCAACACTCACCTTTAATAAACATTAATCAACTGAAAATAACAAATTCTATATTCGATCTGCCCTATGTTGTGACATTGTTTCATTCAAGTTCTATGATATAATATATGTATTTTTGTATTTAATTTTATAGTATTTTATTTAGAAAAGTGTTCCCGCTTAACTTTGCCCCCGGAAGTGTTTTGTTGGCCATGAACTGACTCGCAGCTAGCCATGTAGCTTTTTGTCATACTCCTGTGGGTCCTTTTGCGTTCCTGGCATAATCATACTGGCACATTTGTGGATTATGTCTACTGAAATGGATATTTTTAGAGACGAAGAAGCGCACGATCTGAAGTACAAACGGGGCGGGCGTTTGGACATGAGCCACGGTTTCCTGCACCATATCCGCAGGAACCAGATTGCCAGGTGGCTACAGCTAATGCTAGCGGCTACAATGTTAGCGAACATCGATTATGGTCCTTACAGTCGACCCAGTCTCAACTAATTAATGGAGCAATGCAAATACTCTGGGGAGATTATTTCGACATGGTTGTGTCTTACATACAGCTAAATACAAGGACGCACATGATCTTGAGTCGTAGTTTTTGGTTCGCTATCGCGCACACACACACACACACACACACACACACACACACACACACACACACACACGTCTAAAGTTTGTGCCATGTTTGTGAGGGAGGAGTTAGCATGTTACGCCAGTTCAGTATAAAGTTGGTGTAGGGGGGAAATTGAATGCAAATGCATTCACATGCATTTATTATTTTGGTGGTCTTACTTCAGGGGTGTCCAAAGTTAGTCCTCAAGGGCCGCTGTCCTGCTTGTTTTCCAGCTCTCCCCTGAGCAACTACCTGGTTCAAATAATCAGGATTGTTCTAATGCTGCCTCAGAGCTGGCTGATGAGCTGAACACCTGAATCGGGTGAGTTGCGGCCGGCCGGGAGAGCTGGAAAACAGGCAGGACAGTGGCCCTCCAGGCCCGGAGCTGGACATGCCTGTCTTACTTTCACAATTATCATAGCAAGTACCGTTGTAAGTTCTTCTTTTAAGCAAAATGCAGGGCTCCAGACTGTTCCTAAATGCTAGCATTTTGTCTTACAGTTGAGCCAGGACATCTATTTTTTCAACATACGCATGTGCGATCAGCAAATTTGCTGGGTTATTTTCTTGAATAATTTTTGTTGCAGACAAACCTCAGCTCCACACGTCAGCATATTTATCAGTAATATAGTAAAAATGAGTAGGAATATGAATATTTACTTGGCAAATCAATATAGTTTTCTAATTGCAGTCCTAAATGTTCAGTTTGGGCCCACTGTGCTCCTTGTAATGACAATTTGTCTGGAGCCCTGAAAGGGGACACAGTTGTTGAAGAACATTTAGTATAACAAATGTATTCCAAATTAGGATTTTTAAATAAAATAACATTAGGAGCAATATTTTGAAAAACCATCCTTTAGATGAAGATATTTGTATTTCTACAAACTATAGCAAAAACTAGCTTGTTACAGTTGCTACTGGGAATTCAGTACTCCATTGCCGATATGTGTAGCACGATGTATATGGTACTTTTAAATGAGTGGCTAGAACAGGACTCACCAACTCCATTCCTCAAGGGCCTATCCTGCATGTTTTTAACATTTCCCTTGTTGATGAATCGTACTGAGTCCGTTGTTTTTATGTGCCCTGCTATTGAATGGCCTCCAGGGTGAACCCTGCCTCTCAAGCTCACCCATGACACAAATGCTTTTGAAAATTATTGGCTGGACAATCTATGACTATTGATGTTTTTCTTTGCCTCCAAGAGATGACTATGACAAAGAGGTGAAGTTAGCCAAAAAAGCTCAACGGAGGAGGCACACCACAACTCCTCAACGACCCAGGCGACCTGACATTCAGGTTTACCATCCCCGACAAAGACGTAAGGCATTGTTATGATTGAGTCTTGTTGACTGTCATCAGTTTTCAAGGTCAAAGGGAAGTCACATTCTCTAATTGTAATGTTCTAGATGAATCTGAACCTCAGGCGAGCACCGAGGCAGAAGAGTGGAATGAGAGCAGCTCAAGCACCGAGACAGAAATGCAGGGAACCGAACTGTTCTGGCTCGACTATCAGGCGGACTCTGGGACCATAACATCCTTCATTGTGCACAAGGTGGCTGAACCGCCCTCTGTACTATTGCGTGCATGTTCAATTTTCATTTCTTAATATTCTGTTTCTCTTTTCAACAAGGACGATAAGCCATCAAGGGTGGTAGAACGCGTCGCTGAAAAGAACGTCCTGGATTTAGCCATGAGGGCAGTCCTGGAGGTCCGCATTCGAAAGGAGATGGACAAAAGGAGAGATAAACGCTGATCGAGGATTGTTAAGTGTGTAGTTTGCAACAGCCGCACGGTAGGCACAGACCTGCCCACAACGTCAGCATCCTCATTAGAAGGAAGGCTGCAGACAGAGCTGGCACGAAGAAGGACCCGGATAATTGTGTCAAGTAGGCAAGCACAGATCCGATCCGCATTCCTGTTGAGATTTCAAAACAAGGATGTATGGTTGAGGGCAGTCGTAGCTGCATTTCACCCACCTTGTGCTGTTGTCTCCTCTGATCCACATCATCGGGGAGCACTGTGCACATTTACATTACATGTTCTATATGACCATGGAAAGTAATACCCCTTTCCCACTGCCGCAAAACCACGGGTAAACACGCTTTTTGGGGCAGTGGGAAAGGCTCACTGGCCAGTGTCGATCCGTTTCCACCAGCACGCCATTGGAGGCGGGTTGTGATCGCCTCCGATCGCCTCCGCTTGCAGTTTGAAAGCCTGACACGGGACTTCCCGGTAATTACGTGATGACATAGGGCGGTACGTGATGCGTCATAACATCGCGCGCCATCGGCCTCGTATATAGCACAGCCCCACAACAAAGCTAGGAGATCGTCCCTTAAGCTGTTGTCTCAGTAGTAGCAAAGTGTTGATCCCCTGCTGCTTTTCGACCATTTTGAGGACGGTAAAAAGCATGATAAAAGAAAGAACACTCGCTTCCATGTTGCTTTGTTTACCACCAAGAAATCTGTCGCACTATCATCTACGCAATCACAGCGCGGTGACGTAACCAGACGCAAAGTGAGGGAAGGGAGGGGGGCAGAATCGCCTTCTGTTGGTCAATGGGAAAGGGACAATATGCCAATTGGTTGCGTGTCGCCACGGATCATTACTACCACTAATTTCAGTGGGAAAGGGGTATAAGAGAACATTTCCTCTTTTATTGTTAACATTTTAAGTTTGAATAAAGTGCTGGAAGTCGCAAAACCATATGTTTGTCAGTGTGGGTTTTAGCCTTGACTGTGTATTTATTTTGCGTCATTACCTCTAGTATTGTAATTTATTGTATTTTGGAGTAATGTATTTTGGTGGGCAACTTTTCTAATCTGTGATATAATGTTTTTTGGTTGTTCTTGTTGTTATATTTGTTACTCGAAACGTTTCTCGGTGCAACTTTTGGAGCAAATAGCATTACAATGTGAATGTTTTCTACCTGTCACATGAACAATAAATACTTTGGATACACGCGTATTGCTTTTCCAAGCGTCGATTCTGTTTGAACTCATCCTGTGTTCTTTGATCACGTTCACGACAAATAGGTTTTATTAAGTTGCCTTCAGCAGGTGGCGACATAAATCAATGTTTCGAATGTGGAGTAGTCAAATGTTTTAAAATCGTACAGAATCATCCACCATGTTTTTAAATACATATACTGTAGTTTTTGCACTCTCCAAATTGCCATAATCCATCGTTTAGGAATCTGGTCTTTTTGGCCCACTAAAGACACTTGAGTCACCGGTTGACTATCGTACACAGTTACTCGTTTCCACTTCTGAATGGTTCGTAATTGTGATCAGATTTGGATGCACCTGTGTTATTTTCTACGTAACACGAACATTTATCACACGGGAATAACTTTAGAAATCTGCACCACTATACCAATATTTAAATCTTGCCTTAGTTACGTATAAATTCCCTAAACTAAAGCACCGATTGGGGCCGGCATTAAGATTCCAGGAAATTTAGCTCTCCAAGAAGGAACAACACACACAATTTTCTAAAGGGAAGAAATTAGCTTAGATTAGCTTGATGTTTAGTCAGAAATTTTCTAACTCAGAAAATGAGGAGTGGCATTTTTAAATGAGTAAAGACACGTGGCTGACCAAACTTTAAGAACGTTATGCAAACTTTCAAGGAGGATCCAGATGTGCTCCGCTATTGGTGGGAAAGAAACACACCTCTTGTTCGGCTTCACTTCTCAACCAGCATGTGACTTGACCAGGGATCGGAGGAATGCATTGCATTCCCATGGAGCTTCGTCTTGCTGCTCCACCGTCACCGCCCCCCCCCACCCTTCCTTTTGGGCTCACCAATTGGCTAAAAAAGCACCCAATCACACACGAAGGGCACATGTGATTGGGTGTTTTTTACATTGCCATTATATAAAGTACAAGTTTTCTGCTTGATAAACACCCTCAAGGGATGCTTGTCAATTCTTGTTGAAACCCTTGTCGATTTTATAACCTGCAAAGCAGCAGTTGAACTGCTTGAAAATAAGTGCCTTTACACACGGCACAGTTTCATACATAACACGTCTTGTTGCTCTTCTTGCCGTACAACAAGCTCAGCCGCTTCTAAACAAAGAAGAATTGTAATGGAAATGCGTTCAGTAGCATTTTGTGCAAAAGAAGACCTCTGTCTAAATCGCGTGTGCTGTAGAATAGGCCGGAATATATTGTTATTAGTATGTGTGTAGCCATAAAACAAAGAGAAATAAAGCATCTAAAAGTATCTGACTATGCCACACCATCAGAGTAATTACAACCTAGGTATGCTGTCCAAATGTCACGAGGAGGCATGGAGTGATCAAGTACATACTCGTTGGGCCTCACGCTTTCACAAGCTATCACGCAATGAAAAATATTGCATCAGCTGTCACCATACGCCTGCAGGAAATGTCACCGCCCTCGGGAAAATATCTGGCCTGAATCTGCGCTTGTGTCTCCGCATGGTGCCGATCACCAGCGGCCATGCTGGAAGTGACCCGACATAGTCCCACGAGGCCTTTCAGTTGATGTCAATGTTTTATGTTGTGCTCTTTGAATCTCCATAGCTAGCAGGAAGGACCCTGTGTGTGTGTGTGTGTGTGTGTGTGTGTGTGTGTGTGTGTGTGTGTGTGTGTGTGTGTGTGTGTGTGTGTGTGTGTGTGTGTGTCTCCTCCACTGTAGTCCGAGTGAAGGAGTTTCCCATTCAAGGCTGCAACATTGCAGGCCTGCACTGGTCATGACTGGTTAAATATAGACACTCAAATGAGCCACCGCAGTAGTGGAAATGCAAAGCCACTGTATTTACACTGTAAGGAAGGCAATCAGAATGTGATGATGTAACTTGTGCACAAATATACTGTAGCCTGATATACTGTTGTAGTGATCCAATTTAATGTGCAAAGCCATCTGTTCATGGCAAGAAATAAATATGTTGATCAATGACTTCACAGTCAAATGTGAACAGGGTCAAATGTCTGCTGAATTGATGGTTATGGGCCACATAGCCTTCTGCAAACATGTGTAGCTTGAAACGATGAATACACAGAAAACTCTGCACCAAAGTGCCTGAGACTCAAAGTTACAAAATACACTAGTCAGCCCCACCGGTCCAAGTTTTAAGTCAGTCCGGAGTCTTCATGTTTCTTGTTTTATAATAATGTAACTGATCAAAAGACAAACTTTGATCAGATTAAAAACGCAACAACCAGCTGTCGGGAGCTTTGTGTCAATATAATAAAGCTAAAAATAACAGAATGGGAAATGCTCCAGTGATCCTTTGCTAAAACAGGATTTGGTGGTGTGGCAGCTCAATACTGTATTTCCTCCAATTGTGGCCTGGGGTGTTTGTTTACCCAACTGCAATGAGTAGTTTATTTGAACTAAGAAGGTTATTTGAGAGCAGGTCCCCCTCTATTTGCCCAAGCGACAATAGAGAAGTGTTTGACTGCTATATACTAGCGGTTTCTATTTGTATTTTGTAAGATTTCACACCGTCACATATCATTTGCAGACCTGTTTCAACATTGCATCCAAAGCACACAAGCGCAAAAGCTCTGGCAAAGCTACATTCTCTCAATTTGCACTTCAGCGCTGATGTGTACAGTGTTTTGTTTCTATGAGCTTTGATTAACTGCTTCTTGTGGATCTAATTGGCTAAAAATTAAAACATTGTCAAAACATCACCAATTGCAGTTGTCATGTACTTACGGAAAAAAAATGGGCTCTGGTGTCACACTGATTACTTTCGACTACTACTTGCTGTAGTTCACATAACTATCATTCTCCCAAAACTAAATTGTGTGGTGTACAGAACCGCAGTGTCATGCTTGGTGGAATCATGGCTTTAGTAGACAAAGGGAAATGAGCTGGTGGCACCACCTGTTAATTTTTTCCCCTGAGGGGTTAAAAAAAAGAAAAATTAAGACATTTATTAATGTTGTCAATATACCGGAGGTTCATTGAGCAATTACGTCAATGAGAGCCGAAGCCATGACTTGTTGAAATATTTGAAATGACGCAACCTTGATTTTGAACGCCAACTCTTTACTCGGGTGTAGCCTATATGCTACTGTGCAGAATTCATCAGTGGCAGTGTTCCACACTGTTTAGGAGATTATCCTACTCTAGTATGTATGCGCCCCGCAGCCTTAATAGTATGCTTGAAATGCATTTAAGTGTGTTAAATTATTTCTGTTGCGCAAAACAGTACTTTCAAGACAGTAGGTTCTGACTTCAATTGGCTCATTTTGTCTGCTCTGCATCAAAACCGGTCGGTTTCATCATACTGTGCTAAAACTGCAATCAGACGCGACCTTCGATGTTCTCATGTTGATTCATTTTAAAAGACATTCATGTGGGCGGGGGAAGAACACCTTGGCGATGATACGCCAAAGCAACCACCATCTTTGTCTCAATGCTCCATGACTCAGACTAAAGAAAGACACAAAAATCCAAGATGTTCTCAGGCTGCAAAAGAGAAAATAGCTGACCCAAACGACAGCTGTTGCCCAGTTTCTCCCTGACAACTTTCGTGACCTCGAGACCATGTGAAAACGGGGACTGTTATGTCCTTTGTTCACAGATTAAATGTGTTCTTTGGGAAGACGCTTCTCCCCACGCAGAAAGTCTTGTTTCGACTTGAAAGAAGTCATACTGGATAAGAGGAAATATACAAGAATTGGGTGCGCCATGTGCAGGTGCTTGTAAAAAATAAAAGTCATACCTGTCAACTCATACGGTTTAACCATAGTTCATACGGATTTTGTGGTGAATCTTACGTATATGGCCATATCGCAAAAATCATACGGATTCTGAAAATTTCCGGTCCCCACCCCCCTAACAGGTAGTTCAGTTTTGCTTTTGCCCAGAATGGTGCTAGTCTACTCGAATGCTTTCATTTCCGGTAATTTTCCAGTAAATCTAGTTGAAAACAGCAGAGTATTCATTGCATACTTCGGTAGTGTACAAGCAAGTTCTACAAGGAAACAAATATATCATTCATATTTCATGGGTTTTTTTCTGCCGTTATTTTGACATATAAAATGCTTTGGTATGTTATAAGGATTTTTTGCTCTTTCTCAGGATTTTTTTGGTAGTTTATACAGGTTGGCGCTCCGAAAAGTTGACAGGTATGAAAAGTGAATATCATGAGAAAGCTGATTTATTTCAGTAATACTCTTGAGGCATTGGGTAAATGAAACACTTTTGAAATATTTACTCTGCCCGAATATCGAAGAGCACGGAGATCAAATGTGAGGTTCTCAGACACTTCTGTGTCCGTCAATTTGGGCTTCAACAATGCCTGTGCTCACAAGCCATCCATGATTCTGCAGTACAAATAAACATTAGCAGTATGTCTGACAGCATCACATACGGGTGACTGACACTAGCACTGAACACACACACACACGCGCACACAAAAAACCGCAATACCGGTTTTCCCCCCCCCCCCCCCCCTCCCCTACACACACACAAATATTAACAATGAGACGCTGCATGTTGCAAGTATCTTATTTATTACAGAGCACAAGGGAAGTGTCCAATCTAAACATGAAACATTACAGAAAGAGCCATCCGCTCTTGACAGAATCTCATTTTTTGTGTGGAGAGGAGCAAAGGGGGAGAAGAAATAGAAAAAGGCACATGTACACTTACTGTAGCCAACGATTACCTGCAATAAGAGCACTACATTGGATGGCCATGTAAACACGGTTGGTTTCTCTGTACTACACCAACCAAATGCTGCCATCGTACTGATGGAAGATTTGTAAGAGCCAAAAGGTTTGCAGATGCTTTATTTAAAATAACTTTAAAAAAAGGATATCCACCGCACCTTAAAAAAAAAGTATTTGTGCAGTCCAAAAATAAAAACGTTAAATAGTCAAACATTAACCGTTTGTTTTCGAGGTGACCCAAAGCTTTTCTGTACAACACTCTGGAACCTCAAGCAAACAAACTATCAAGTCAAGAGGAATTCAAGATTCAGTAATCAAGTGTTTTAAAGCTGCCGTCTGAAAGCTCAGCTTCTCTGTATCCACGCTGAGCTCCAGAGAACAAATAGTGTTGACATTGGATATCCAATAAGACTGACAAACGCCACCAGAATAAAGACGAGAAGACAGGTTTCTCTGTAACTACACCTGCAATCAATATATCGGTGGAGTCAATGGGGCCAAATCACTTGTTTTCTTTAAAAAAAAAAAAACTGTGCGTGTGTGTGTGTGTGTTGGGGGGGCTCAAAAACTGATTCCAAATGTTTCATCACTATCAAGTTCACCCAACACCTCTGCAGACCAGAGCAGTGACATAGCAGCCTCTGACTTTTCTGTATGACGTCAGAAAATGACAAAGATCTGCGGCGGTGTGTGGGCTTGAAAGTGCAACATTTGGCAGCTCTTAGTCATGCAATGCATAGCGGTTTGTTTTTTTTTGTTAACAGCGACAGCATTTCCATTTCATTGTGCCACGCCAACATCCTCCATAAAGAAAAGAATCAATTCTAGCAACAAGAAAAGTGGGCGAGGGAACATTTATACCAGACTGACCGAGGAGGAATGTTGCTCAATGAGAAAGATCCTCCGAAATGACGAGATGAAGATTTACTTCGCAGGTCATACATGCTCCTCTTGTAGTAGCACCAGTGAGTGAAGGCCAACTACCAACACGTGCCCATGACTACTCGACTAGACTCATGTTAAATGACAGAACTGCAGCGACTCACGCTCTATAGCACAGTAACAAGTGACAGAAGAAGAAGTTCTTGGAACCTTCAAGTTTAAAACAAAAAAAAGAGAAAGAAAAAAAAAGAATGACTTCAAGGAGTCATCATTTCGCAACCAGCAAAACAAAAGACAATATCCGTGTGGAAAATGATGAATCATTTTTGAGAAAGAGAGGAAGGGAGGAAGAGAGAGAAAGACAGCAAAGGGCATTTCACCCCCCCGAATCTTGGAGGCTTCTCTGTAGTATACACCAACAAGCCTGGGGGCAAAAAGCCTAACAGGTTTAGTATTTCAGCTTTTTGGGAACCTCCCATGGAAAGGAGTCACGGCCAAAGTGGCCATAGGCCGCCGTCCTCTGATACAAGGGCTTCTTCAGATCCAGATCCCTAAAATACATAACCAAAAGGTTTAGCAGCAACCACACATGCACAGAGATCAGATGCACACATTCAACCTCATGCAGGCCAAAGTCAGTGATGGGCTTGAGAGCCACTTTGCACCCAGCTCGTGATGGTTGTTGGAGAAAATAAAATGCATCACTTACCAGTCCTACCATCCTTCGCCCTGAGCAATGTGTGGTAACCGCAACTTCCAAAAACTAATTCTGAGCTCTCACCATGCAACCCCGAGCTAACAGTAGACTAACCTCACTTGTAACTACATGAAGCCGAGAGCAGAGTTCTCACACCGGGAAAGGAATAAAAGCAAGGAAGCCAGGAGCTCCAATGCAAGCGAACAGCTGGTGGCGTCTGTCATACATTACCTGACAATGACCCCGGGACGCAGGTCAAAGTTTTTCCTTACGATGTCCAGCAGCTCCCGCTCACTCTTGTTGGAGGTCCCATAGTGGAAGATGGAAATGGAGAGGGGGTGGGCAACTCCAATGGCGTAGGACACCTGACACAGCACACATGAGACATGTAGCAAGACCTTCTGCAAGCGGAAGCTGACAGAAACTAACTCAGACTAAACATCTAGCAGCTGGCTCACCTGAACCAACACCCTCCTGCAGAGCTCGGCCTTGACAAGAGACTTGGCAACCCAACGTGCAGCGTACGCAGCGGAGCGGTCCACTTTGGTGTAGTCTTTGCCAGAGAAGGCTCCGCCTCCGTGAGCCCCCCAGCCGCCGTAAGTGTCGACGATTATCTTACGCCCCGTCAGTCCGGCATCGCCCTGTGAATGCAGCGACGGCGCTCAGATGGGTGAGCAATACACAAGTTACAACCCATCTGAATTCCGCATTCTTACCTGGGGGCCGCCAATGACAAACCTGCCACTGGGCTGCAGGTGGTAGATGGTGTCATCATCCAAATAATTGCAGGGAACAACAGACTTGATGACTTTTTGCTTCAAGGCATCTCTCATCTCTTCAAGGCAAATTTCCTCATCATGCTGAACGGAGATGACAATTGTGTGCACGCGCACAGGAAGCATGGCGCCACGGTCCTGACGGTACTGCACGGTAACCTGAGAGGAGGTAAAAGAGATTTCAGCATAAACATACAACAGACTAGAGTAGGCTAGACCCGTGGGGTCAAAACTGGGGCCATTTGGGGCCCAGTGCACACTGTTGGACCGCCACTTATTGTAATACACATAGGTTACCCCACCCCACGCAAAAAAAGTTTGTTCCAAGATACACTATTTTCAAAATGTAAACTGTTTAGATTACTTCTTGTTTCAAATACTAAATAAAGCAGAATGTTAGTAGATATGACTAACTTTTTATTCAATGTTTTTTTAAGTTGGATGAGAGATATTTTCCTAACCCAAAAAGAAACTCAATGTTAAGGTACCAGGCAATCTAAAAAACAAACAAATGGAAAAAATAGACAATGTCCATAACTTCTTCCTTTGTTATCAGTAACATTAAATTGAGATGTTTTCCTTCAATATTTTTCAATTACAGTATACTGAAGTGGTTTTAGCAGTAAGTTGACATGGCCAAACTCTTCTTTCCATTAGCCTTAGTGGAAAGTTTTGCAATCTCGCAGCTGTAATAATGGAATGGATAGCTACCTGTGTCTTTGAGTCAGGTCGGAGCCACGGCAGAGTGCCATTGCGTCGGAGCTCAGCCATCTTGGCATTCAGTTTGTGCGCGAGCACAATTGTGAGTGGCATGCACTCCTTGGTCTCGTCAGTGGCATATCCAAACATCAAGCCCTTGAAAGTGTGATCGGTGGGAAACAACTTTGTGTTACGGTCACGTGCCATTTCAGCACAACAACTCTGAACAAGAGGATGGGTGTAAAACTGACCTGGTCCCCAGCTCCAATGTCCTCTTCATTGCGGTCAACGTGGACACCCTGGGCTATGTCAGGAGACTGCTGCTCCAAGGCCACTAGCACGTTGCAGGTCTTGTAGTCAAAGCCTGCACAGAGAAAAACAATAATACCAAGACTTTGAACCAAAGCAGACAAAATCGATGTAAAGAACAGGGGGAAAACTCTGGCTTTGGCGAGAAATAGATATTAAGATAATCTTTCTAAATATTAAAACAAATGTCTTTGAGTTACCCAATTTCTGAGAACTGAGTTACAAGCCATTACCTGGGTGATTTTTTTTTTGCTTTGTGCCAAGAGCCAATTTGTGTTACATGTGAACTTCAGTCACATCACTGGTGGCGCCAAATGAAAAATAAAGGCAGAGTTCCTCCCTCATCCATAGGTAATGAACGCCTACAAGGCAAATGTCCAATACAGTTGACAGAGTATTTAGTTTGTCTTTGCACTGAATGCATTTAAAAGCCAAAAGCCCCAAATTTGAGTAATGAATATTGAAAAATTCAATTGGTAAGGCAAGGTCCCAGCCCAACCACAGAGTGTCAAATCGAGTATCCAAGTAAATATTGACATTCAGAAACAGTCAAACCCACCTTTAGCTGAGTCATCATAGCCAATCTGGCGAATAGTATCCCGCACAACTTTCTGATAGTCCACCGTAGCTCGTGAGGTCACTTCACCTGCCAACAGGATCATACCTGTCTTGGCAACCGTCTCTGTTGGAACACACAGGGAATGTGATGTAATCCTAACATTTGCCACGAGTTCATATGGAAAGTAAGACTTTGATCGTCTTACCGCAAGCAACCTTGGCATCAGGATCTTGCTTGAGATGAGCGTCAAGGACCGCATCACTGATTTGATCGCAGATCTTGTCTGAAAATAAGTTCAATTACACGGTTGCAATGAAGCAAAGGCTCAACGCAGAGTGCAGCCCATGTGCTCGGTGGGAGTGGCCCAATGAGTCACAGAGTCGCCATTTCAAACATGTGCACGTGTGGTGGGGGCCTACAGCAAACTCGCCGGCAACGGGAAAGCAACCTAACGAGGCACACGGCCGCCCAATATTCTCGGCTGTTTGAATCCTGAAATGGACTCCCACCGGCTTCGTGTTCGCTCGCGCGGGGTTCATTTAAAATCTCAGATGTGTGAGAAGCGTCTTCAAGACTTCCCTCATATGCCAAATCCCTCGTGTACAATGGGCGCTTTACAAACACAATTATTTTATCTTATTTAAGACAAGCGATTTAAGCACCAGAAACACTTAATAAGCTCCTAATGCTTCCCACGTTGTTAGCTGCTTACCTAACCGACAAGCGTGGTCGTAGTGATTACTGAACCTCATCTCGAGGGAAATCAGGTCAGAAGAAAATAAAGACCGAAATACATTTTCATTTATTAAAACTGATAGATTACGTACGGAAAACACATGCTCGGACGGCGCATATCCTTAGAGCTGTTTGAGCAAAGATTAGCAAGCTAGCGATTGGCGCGTGTGCCTGGGAGCGCCGACCGGCCCCATATTTCCTCAGCGAGCATCGACACGACTATAGGAACACATTTATGGGACTTAAACGTAAAACAGTTTGAAATAAAACGTCGACCGCGCGCCGTAGGCTGATTACGTTCAAGTAGGCTAAAAGGTCAGCGCGTACTTACCGGGATGCCCTTCTCCGACGGATTCCGAGGTGAACAAGAAGCAGTCCTCGTCAATGACTGAGTGGTGAAAACCATTTATTTGGCCGTTCATCATCGTTCACGATAAATAATTGTGAAGAGACCAAAGAGTAGAAATATCAAAAAAGCAAATGTGTTTATACTGGCAACTCTCACGGAGGTCGGCTTTTTTACTCGCAGCTAAAGTAACCCTCATCCGGTGCTTGGCTCCGGTATTTATGCCATGCCTGGACAGTAGACTTGACGTCATAGGAAACGGGCGATACCAATGACGCGACTGAAGGGGTGTGCCTTACATCAATACAACGGACTGTGCACAGAACTCGGCATGTTCTCCTGAGTCAAACTGAATGAAGAAAAACGTTATGTATTACTTATATGGTAACTTAAGTGTCTCTTACAAGTCCAAACAGGGTTTACACTGTAAATACAGTATAGCAAATTTCATAACTAATTGGCTGTTGTGAACGCAGCAAGATTCACTAATTCTTGTTACAGTTAGTCAGGAACGCCCTGTTCTTTGTTAAAGACAAATAAAAAAAGGTGGAATTGTTTGGAATGTTAAAGTCCTTGTAAACTGAAACGGTAGAATTGACAGCATAGAGAGTATACATGTTTGAAGATAATTGCTGAAAACATGGGCAAAGACTGAGAACTAAGTCATACTGAATTGTGGCGATAGAATTGAGTTGTTTTTCACCAGTTCTTTTTTCCAGATTTTTTATGTAAGATACCATTGTTTTCATAGTTCATGTGCAGTACACACTGCTGTGTACAGTCTGGGTATTTGACTGACAGTTTACAGTTGAAAGTGGCATGATTTCAGCACATTCAGCAGATGCAGCTACAGTGAGAGCGGAGACAACGCATTGATTTTTCGCCATTTTATAAACCCTCCTTTTATATACTTGTCCATTTTGTTATTCGTTGAAATTTGGTTGTCAACAACACTCTTTTCTGTACTGTGCCAAATTTACAAGACATTTTATTTTTGGATTGCAGGGTCAAAGACACACAAAGGCCTTATTGCTGATTTTATGACTTGTAAATGTTTTTAGAATGGCTGTCTCATCATTTAACATTCATCACCACCCTAAATGGGGTATAATATTGATGAATTTTATCTAGCAGTTGTTACCATGTGTGCTTCACAGTTTTGAGGTTCAGGGTCCAAAACTCAGCCCCGTCCTTCCTGTGTGGAGTTTGCATTTTCTTCCCATGCTTGCGTGGGTTTTCTCTAGGTACTCTGGCTTCCCCCCCACATTCCAAAAAGAGTCTCTACTCTAAGTGTCCCCCAAGACCACATGGGCCTTTTCTAATAATAACTCAACAATGAAGGGACATTGTGATTTCCTTGGAATTGTATCTCAGTGATCATTTAAACATGTAAACATTTGCAGAGTTTTATAGAAATAAAATGTTGTGTATGGGTCTGTTTCCTATTTTGTTAAAATCATGTTTGATCATTATTGTGGGGAAATCATGAACAGCAGACAGCAGTGAGCAGAGCAGAGTGTAGCGATATCTTTCATTTTAACTTCATTATTTTTCATGGAAAAAGGTTCCTATCCTCCATTTTGCTTCAGGTGCTGTGGACTGCTACGTAATATGATTAGACTGTGTTGATTCTCTCTTGAACATGTTGTACCTGTCTGTTCGGTAAGTGAACAAATATACCAAATTACTCTTCAGGGTCTGGTTCAGCAGGGGTTTGAAACAAGCCCAAAGCTTGTACAGTGTAACTTTATTGTTTATCTGAAGCTCAAATTCTCTTACAATACAATATAGGTCCCATTTCCATAACAGCAAAGTGGTACAATCCCAGGCTGGTGTTGCATCAGTGCAAATGAGTCAGCATGAATTTTCGGAACACTTTTGTTTCGAGGGGAAACGCATGATGCAAGATGCACCTGCTATTGCTCTGCAGGATGTAGGGTGATATTTTTTTCCAATACCATACTTTCATTGAGAAAACAGCATCACCATTATCAGAGGCAGATTGAGCTACAGGATTCTGTGAACTTTGTCATCCCACATTTATACATGTACTTGTGGTGGAATTAAATTTGTCCCAGAGGTCTCAGATTCATCCCAATAAGTACCCAAAAGAGACCTATGTATGATATAAAATCGAATGGAATTTAAAAAAATATGAGAATTGGGATCCTTTAGTGGAAAGGATAAAATGAAAATATATTTTTTTCAATATATGTAAGCATAACAGCCAAAACAAGTGAAAGCCTAGTTTAGTCCTGCTAAAAAGAGACACTTGTGCGACACTTTTGCTCCCATTTCTCATGAGTTGAATTCAAAAGAGCTAAGACTTTTTCTATACAAACAAAAGGCCTGTTTCTCTCAAATATTGTTCAAAAACGTGTTTAAATCTGTGTTGGTGAGCACTTCTTTGTTGAGGTACCTGGTTTAGCAATGTATTCAACACCTTTCCACACACTCATTTAGTTCACGAGTGAGATTCTTTCCCTTATACTAAATGCAAATAATACGGTACATTGGTACCTTTTAGAGTGGCTGGTTTGCAAATAGGGGGTCTCCTATTTTTTTTCTCTCTGCATTGGTCATTATTGAATTTGAATCACTACCAGTTCAGTTTCATTAAACAACAGCATCATGTCATCATGGTCTTCACTGAAATGACCCATTATATTCATATTTGTTAAACTGAAGCAGCCATTTTACACAGTGATAAAATAAAAATAAAAAAGGCGAGAGAAGAGCACTGTGACATTTTACTCCTTGGGAATCCTTTTGACCTCACATGCCAGATAAACCAAGCCAATTTTCTCAACTTAACTGCATTTATAGAGCACTTTAATATAAAACAACCACCGCTGTATACAAAGTGCTGTACATGGAGCAAAAATAATGCAGACAATAAACAATAACGGGGTAAGGTGGGGCGAAGCCATTTCAAGATTTGAAAACAAATAATGGGATCTTAAAAAGAACTCTAAAATGTATATGGAGCCAGTGAAGGCATGCCAGAGTAGGAGCGATGTGCTCCCTCTTACGAGTGCCAGTCAAGAGGAAAGCAGCAGCATTCTGGACCAACTGGAGACGCTTCATGGAGGATTGGCTGACTCCAAAGGAAAGTGCATTACATTAGTCCAGCCGGGATGTGAGGAAGGCATGAGTTACTGTTTGTTTCAAAGTGCCCCTGAGAAAGGAGAGTCTGCCTAAGATGAAAGAAGGCACCAACTTGCCAGTCCAATTTAAAATCAATGTCCAGTTTAAGACCCAAGGTCGAGACTGTTGGCTTAAGATAAAGAGCCAGGGGGCCCAAGTCCGCAGGATGAGATGTACAAGGGCCACTGGGACCAACCCTCATCACTTCTGTCTTCTTTTCATAGAAATTCAAGAAATTTAATGCCATCCAGGTCTTGATTTGCTCCAGACAGGATAAAAGTGGCCTCAATGCGAAAGAAAATGAAAATGTTGTCACAAACCAGCATTGTGTTTTAAGTCATATGACACACACACACACACACACACACACACACACAATAATCTACACATCATACAATTAAAGCAAACTTTTTTTTATATTTATTTTTTTTAAAAGCAACTTGAGAAATCAAGCTCATAACATAAAGAAAAGAAAAACAGTTTTCAAGGATTTCCCCTGTACCCGACTGAAATAGTACTCCATCACTGGCCAGCAGAAGTCAGGTTACAATAATGGTTACACATATAGCATTTCCAAATACGAAAATAAATAAATAATTTAAAGAAAAATAAACTTTGTGGCATAGATTGTCAGCTATTTTGATATCATACTTCATTTTGATCATTCATATACATATTACTCTATTTCAGACACATAGTAAAACAATGACATTCTGCAGATAGACATTTTTCACGAGTCACTGTTCATGACGGAAAATATTGTTCTAAATTCATCTCACATTCTTATTCTTAAAATTTTACATCTTACTATAAACAAAGGTCCATTATGCTATACTCGCTTTATTTTCACATAAATTAATACAGTGTTACACTTTGAAGTCATTCAAAGGCTTCACAATTAGGCAGGCGTACCTATCCTTGTAGTTTTCTTCACCTAACACTTACACGGCGGATACATTTTCAACCGTCAGATCTTTTCTAATTTTCTAACGACTTTCACAAACGACAAAGAGTCCAAAACAGCACTTGACGGCACAAAAATCACAGTACCGGAATGTACAGTATGTCCACATGCAAACACAGTCATAGCAAACAGCATTCAGAAACACACACACACACACACACACACACACACACACACACACACACACACACACCGAATCTTAGACATACACACTGAGGTAACAGCTACACAATACCGTCCTACTCTAAGAGTTCAAAAGGGTCAAAGTGTGCTAGACAGGTTATCGGAGGTCACACGACAACTGCGCTGTCAATTAATCAATCACTAGGGTCAGTGAACGCAGTCATTGGAGATAAAACTAAAGATACAGGAAATGAAATGAAACTGGACCAAGCATGTATTTTTATGAAATATCCCAGGGGAATTTGAGATGTTTTATGATAATGTGTGACATTTTGTTTCCCGTTGCAATTGCAAAACCCTGTAGCCGCTCTACATGGTAGAGTTATCTGTTTCATTTCCAGAAGTCATGCAACTGTTCCGAATTGGTAATGGTTATCATAGGAAAAGTATTTCTGCTGATTTGTTTTTTGCTAATTTGTTCCAACGACGGGAATCTGATTTTTGCTGTTGTTATTGTCATCCTAATTACCTTGACAATATCAGCTGCCCTGCAGCCAATAAAAAGCAGTTCGTGCAGGACAGCTGTGCTGTGTCAGCTGACAGTGATCCTCCCACAGGACGCCACACATCTCACTGCACTCAATCGGGGGTCTATTTAAAGGCCCTTAATGCTCACGTTCACTCTCTGCACGAACATGTGCAACGTTGCTGATATGGCGAGTAGGAGAGGCCTCCTAAAGCCCACCATACAACAATTTTGTTTTAGTTTCTGAGATTGTTTGTATTTAGTGCAGATCTGATCTGGCTGTCATGACCGCTTGGTGACATTTTTCCCCCACGTACGATTAATTGGCGTCAAGGGGCAAATGACAGTGGGTAAGCTGGATGGGTCTTTCTCATAATACTCGATTATGCTACAGTATGCATGCTGTGTTATATCCAACAAATGAAAACGCTTTACGTAACCTGAGCCAGATCACATCCTCCGCATGGTCATCATCATCCACACCTAAATGCATTCATTGCCCAACAAGGCGGCGAGCAAACGACCTTGACCTACACAAGGTGAGCAAATGCCTATAAGATATATCATTTGGGAAAAACTACAATTATGCGTGGCCCACACTAAAGGATGGAACAAAACTGAGAAAATGCAGGACAGATTGAAATATTTTGGAATAAAAACTCAAGGCAAAACAAACCCTCTTGAGGAACTTGACATTTGTTCCTGAGAAGGATTGCGTCCCAAACTGCACAGTTTCATGAAAACACACTTCGAATATGGTTACTATCAAATAAATGACTCACACTTTTCACTTTTCAGCCGTGAGAAAACATCACACTCCAGTCTCCTCTCTCTGTTTGTTGTCCTCCTCAGAAGCAGGGGGTTGGTTGCCCTCTGCTGGGCATTTTACAGACTCTGCGTCTGACGTGGTCACAGATGGCGCTTCGTCAGTGGCAGTGAGCTCCTTCGTTTTGTCTTGCTTGGGACTTCCGGAGCGGCTGTGGCTGCCGCTGCGACGGCGGTGGTGCTTGACTCTGTGGGGACTGGGACTGCGGGACCTCGACTTCATGAGGACGACAGTGCTGTCCTCCTCGGAGCTGAAGTCGGAGCTGTCTGAAGAGCTGGTATCATTGCCGGATGTGGGAAGCTGGATCTGCGGATGCAAGACGGAGAGGGGAAAGAGTAGGAACTTTGAGGACAAGAAAGGCGGAAATGGAAAAGCATACAAACGGTTGGCGATTACCTGAAATGGCTCCGTTACGCCCACAATGGTACTCATGTTGTTGCTATAGTAACCCAAGATAAAATCTCCCGCGCCTTTGGGCAGTTCCTCTTCTGTAAAGGTTACCTGCAAAACAATTTGTAAGATATTCATTTAATGTGAGAGGAAGCTGTCTTGAAAAGAGGTCACGGCATGCGCACGCACCGCTTACCTGATGTTCTTGTCTATGATAATCTCCTTCTTCCTGTTTGGCCCACACGTATCCCACATAGTCTTTGTGATGTTTGAAACCCACCTGATGGAGCACAAGCAAAGTCACTAATGGTTAGCAAAACAAGTTTGGTGTGCACAGTCAACGTTCTATTTTCTACCTTATATAGTCCGATCCAGTCCCAGGAGCTGCGAGAATAGTTGGGTGCCAGTTTGAACTTGGCTATAGCATCAGCAATGCTATTCCACTCATCCTCTACCAAAACTGTGACCAGGGGAACATCCAACTTGTATGGGAACTTGAGAAGAAAGGATTATGAACGGAAGTGCACCTCTGAATCACAACTATTTGATTAAACAAGACGTAGACGGTTCGACATAACACAAGTATTGTAATATGCTTGCGACTTAGAGTAACACATTTATTAGACTGCCACTACGTTCCAGCTATGTCAACAGCATTGTCACTAATTTCATTTTCATGTTTAACCCTTTCAATGCACCCTGTAACTTGACAACATGGCAAGTTGACCACTGTAGTAACCGCTGTCCCTGAAATGGTGAAAGCCGAAAAGCTTCTAAATGTGGGTACGTCCCAATGACCATCCGGTACCCTCACCTGCAAGGTAAAGATGGAAGAGACCGGCTTGTGGTCGCTGACGTCGTATTCCATGTGACTTCTGTAGCAATGCTGCGTTACTTTGGCGCCGCTGGTTAGCCCTGAAACAGAACCACGCTTCCCGCTGCTGGCAGCAGGTACCGTGGCTCTCAGGCGCCAGAGGATACGGTCGGTCCAAGCTGGTTTACGTTTCTTTCCACTGGGAGGAGGACACGGAGCGAAGAGAAAGAACATCTCAAATAAAGTGATTGAAAGGTAGTGATTAAATCAAAGCTTATGAGGGCAGTCCAGAGCAATGTGATTACTGGCTAAGAATTGACAGCTATGCAATGTCTGCGTCATGCCAGCCAAATGAGTTATCGGTGCCCCCTTGAGCTCCTTTCCTATGATGCAGCCTTGTGCTAAAATTTTTAAAAAATCTGTATACATAATGACAGAAAACTAATCTTCTCAAACATTTATTGAGGGAAGAATAAACGTCTCTCCCTTCCGGTGCTGACCTAATGCTCCCTGGTTAGATGTGCTCTGACGCTGACACTGTAGCTGCTTCATTAGCATCACCAACCTTGTGTCGTAAATGTTTGTCCCAACATCAAACTTGTAAGTGGGGGGGAACTTCAGGGGCCCCTCTTGGAATCCCTCCAGCACCGTCTCACTATCCTTTGCCATGTTTAACTGAAATAATAATCAAAGCATTACAATAGTGGGTGATTTCCTCTCTTACACCCCCTTGTGGCTCCAACCATGATCAGACCGACACAACATTAAGTAAATCGACGCAGATGGATCCGATCCTGACCGAGAGCTGTATCAGTACTATATGAGATGTAATAGTAAAATACAGATAATAATGCTCAATGATACCATCAGAGAGATAATAGCTGACTGTTGGTGTATCATTTTGGTGGACTTTATAAATAATTTACTTCTCTTGTATCTCATTTCAGTAATAGTCAGACGTAGTGGGGGTGTACCTTAACCCATTTCAGTGTATCAAGTGTTAATATTTTAGTATTGCTTGGTAAACTTCTACCAATTAAATAATAATAATAATAATAATACATTCATAGACACATACATACATACATACATATATACATACATACATACATACAGTACAGTATTCTGATACAAAGTACAACCTGTCCATTTCCCTCAATTCTCCTACGGAACATAGAGAACTTTTGTGCTTACCTGATCTTTTTCCCACAAGATGGACAGCTTGTTATTGTCAATTGCCGTTTTTACCACTTGCATTTCCAGGTCATCAATGCGGAAATTGAGATCCCCGAGCCAGAACACCACACTGTAATACAATTTAAAAGGTCACCATTTATCAGTTGATTATTAGATCTGACAACAATGAAAAACACATCTTTTTTAACGTTTTTTTTACTGTGTACTTCACACTCCTTACCTGAAAATATGAACAGACATAGATGTGTGTTGTCACTGTGCGAGTGCGTGTGCTTGTGACCTACTCGTGGTCAAGGACACCTGAGGCCGCCTGGCCCTCAAACTGCTGTTGTTGAAGGATGCTCTCAAAGTCCTCCATACGCTGATCCGAGTTTTCCATGTGAGCCGGCAGGTGGCAGTTGAGGAAGCAGAGAGTGTGACCGAACACTGACATGCGGGCGCTGACTCCACCTTTGTTTCCCTGTTGCGCACAGAAGGAGAGGAATACATGACTTAAACTCGTTCAACGCCAGCCCAGGTAAAAAACGATGGACCTTGGACTTCTGCAGCCGTCAATGGCAGTGAATGATTTACGACAAAAATAATTAAATCAATACAATCAAAACAGCGAGGAACTAGTCATTTGAAATGGGTGAACTAGTTGTGTGAATATGTCATTACTGCGATGCAACACAAAATGTATTAATTGCGAGTCGGAGAACCTTTTACTCAAACAAAAACTGTACACGCAAAGCAGGGGGTGGAAAGACGAGCGTGCGGCTTTTCTCCTACTGTTCTCTCCAATGTTCTGCCTCATTGAATCGCCAAAGACGCTTCAGTGCGTAAAACGTGTAGAATGTGCTGACGCCTGTCATGCACTCTGGACAACAGCGGGATTTAACTTACAAGTCAGGGTTGCATAACTCTTTGGGCAGTTATTCAGTCAAGCCCTCAGCAATGAAGATAATGCGGCCAAATTATTTGCATGATTGGGATGTGCTGCAACAACATTTTTTCCCCCCATTAAATCCAACTCTAAAAGAAAACATTCATTACTTCGGTAAGACGGATGGTCCAAAATGTGTACAATTTGTTTGAAACATTGTAAGACTTAACGTAAGTAGCATTATGTCGGATTGTAGTTTGCCATTTGGTTATTTTTGGTTTGCTTGACTATTCAAACGTTAGGAATAGAAAGACACAAAATAATGAACACATAGGTTTACACACAGAGTACAACGGAAGTATTTCTGAATAAGTTATATAGTCCATTAGCAAAGCTAAATTAATCAAAAAAAATTACTAATAATAATTAATAACAACAAACAAACAAAAACATAGCTAGAATGTAATTTTGAGACCATTTATTGTGCAGATCTCAAAATTCAAAATAAAGACTCAGCGCTCTATGGTGCAAAATAGTGCAAACAAAGGCAAATAACATTGTTGATGCAACCAAATTCATGCCATCTAGCGGCTTATAGCGCACACCCCTAATAAACCGCCAATTATAATCATTTTGTCAATTTGATAACTCTCTGACAGCGTCAGTCAAAGCATTCATTGTAGCTCTCTTGTATTCGACCCTATTAAATTGTGTACCTAATGTTGTGGCCGGTGAGTGTATACTCTGTTGATTTTAGCATCAGGGATGTATATCTCTTTTACAGCGTAATGAGTTTCATATCCATGTGCTAAAGAGAGTACTGCGTGAGTAGTTGTGTCACCCAGTAACCCCCCAGGCCAGTGCGGGTGGTCTCCGTCTGGACTCCACGGAGGAATGGCAGATGGTAGTACTTGGCAAAAACCAGCAGCAACACGCCCTGCATCCTCTGGGAGGTCACCTAAGGACAAGAGGGCATCAGAAACGATGCATTATTCTGAAAAAAGGCAAGTTACATCTTCCAAAGTGAAACAAAATGTAGTTGTGTGAGTCAGACAGCGCTTTCATTTCAATAAATCAATTGTATGATCTCAAAGCCAACTTGGTGATGGTCCCGAACCTCTACTTGAGCCCACATGAGGCTGCGGCTGAGCTCAACCACTACTTTCCAAAAAAACACACACACACACACACACACACACACACACACACACACACACACACACACACACACACACACACACACACACACACCAACCGGGCTGCTGCTCGCCGTCAGGCCTCAGAGCGGAAGAAGCCTGGTTTTCAGAGTACCGGCAAATGTCACTTGTCTGAAGGTCATTTTTCAGTTTTTGTTCTCTCCACTTTGCTTTTCCACTATGTTATGCATATTTTTGAGCAGCACATGCACGATTCACAATGCAGCTGCCTGAATAAAGCACGTGCATTTGTTCAAGTAGGACAAGATAAAGTATTTGCATGCTTTGCCAAGCTCTCCAATGGATTTCGGCTGTGATTCCCCTCTCCCCACCCCCCCTTCCATTCTCCTTCACGAGTCCACTCATCCCAACTGCAGGCCAATGAAGCATAATCATGCTGTGCCTGAAATGCCCTGTGGTCAGTAATGGATGCGCACATCTCCACGTGACTGAAGACGGTCTTGCTTGTGTTGTCACTGGCGAGATGTACGCCTTTGTTGCATAATGACTTCTACTGAACTGTGAGGTGGACCATCTTTTTTATGCTGATTGTTCGGAGACCAACCTAAACAGTGCCGACCAATCATTTGGTCATATGCAATGCAATGATGGATTGTACAAAAAAAAAAGATAACTGTAATTAACACAGTTAAAAGGTCAATGCATTTGTGGCGTTAGCGGTGAGGAACTGCGCTGCATCATGATGAAAACTATTCGATAATATGCTGATTCATTTTTTTCATTTAGCAAGTGAGACAGACAAAATATAACCATTTCTCAGTTCCTCGCATTAGAACGCATTGCGATTATACACCACGCAAACTACAACCACAACAATAAACAAACTTGCTGCAAAGATAGCAACCCTGTTATTATCATTCGATCCAGTGGAACGTTCATTAGTTCATACAATATTAGAGTAAATGCATTTGCTCTCTAAAAAGAATGGCTCACTTCTCCATATATTGCATTGCTACTCCATTGTGCAATAAAGATTAGGTCTCTTGTGCGCTGTTGTTGATAACGGTCACAGACAGCTATTGTAGGAAGTTGGCTAATGCCCAGAAGTGTTGACATAAAACTTGGAGATTAGATTTGCTCATATGAGATTGGGCAGTGGCGGTCCCAGCACACACACATTCACAGATAAAAAAAAAAAAAAAAAAAAAACCACACACCGGAAGGAACCTTACGTTTTTCATTCAACCATCTTGAATCATCAACCACACTAAGAACAAAGGTTAACTAGAATTAAGGGAACCCACAAATCGCACTAGACGGCGGGGGGTGGGGGGGGGATTCTGAGAATCTTGTTTGTTCACAAGCAAACCTGCTTTATTTTATGTTGATGATTAGCTCTTCATTTTTTAAAGCACATTTCAGGCCTTAAAACAAATTTCACCCTAGCAATGATGCGCTGTGCAGCCGCACATAATGCACATGCCAGAAACCAGGTTAAGTTATATGACGAATGTCACCGTACCACCTACTTCACACAGACTCCTATAAATAGCACTTGGCTACCATAAAAGGCCTAACTTATTGTTAAACATCCACGCAGAGTACGTACACACTAAACTGATTTCACAGAGGCTTCAAGTCATGGAACGGACCATCACACGTCCGCATTGTTGCCAGAGGCCCATCAACACTGACAACATTCTGCTCCCAAAATAAAACGGCACCCCGGGAGACGTTTGTCTCACTTTTTCGGCCCGACAGCTGATTTACGCGCACAAAGATGATTGCACCACTCAGCATGCCAACAGCACCAGCAAACATCCTTTCACAACAGGATACAGGGAAACCGACTGCTTGCGATGGTATGTCCTGTTAGCTCGCCAGCTATAGAAAATATTGACACACAAGGGTCGTGCTTGAGATGACAATTTTCAATTATATTTTATAATTTTATTGCGATCTTACCCTGTTGCTTGTTTAAGATAAGGTGTGCTGTACAGTGACTATGGTATTCCACAAAATAACTGTGACTAGCACAATTTACGAGACCCAGTACAATACAGTACATAATATGAAATCTGAAAATTCTTTCTTTACAAAGATAGCAATTCTCAGAGGTGTTACTTCCGACGATATGTTGGTGTGATTGTACTTTTGACATTTTAATTCACTGCGTCTCACTGAGAGATGGCTCTCATATTTTGCTTTAAATATGAGAAACCCCTCTCAGTACGATGCAGTGAAGCTTTAATACAATGCAAAGTAAAATCACAATAAACAGTGTTAAAGTAAGGAAGAATTAGAATTGGAAACTTATACAACTAAATACAGTAGGTGGCAAAGCTGGGGCAAAATATCAGAAAAACCTCTTGGTAGACTACAAATACATGATGGCCATAAGGTATCCCACTGGATATCATCTGATTTTGCTTATGCATTCCAATATGCAAAATAATAGATAACAATATTTTGCCTAGTGGGGGTACTGTATACTGTTTATAGTTTTATCAATGGGGGAGGGGGGGGATTTGAATTATATTTCTCTTATGTTGTAACGTGTTGATACGTTTAAAAAAATATATATATTTTTAAATCAGCAAAATATCTTCATCCGGCCAAATAATTGGTTGGTGCCCCATTCCGAACACAACTTAAAAATTGACAGAGAAACAGCTCGTAGCTTAAAATACTTCAAGGTGATGGATTTGTTAGTCAAAGTGTGGAAAAGCATGATCGTAGATGACCACAAACATTTCTACTGGGCATCCTCCAACTCTTTACAATATTATAAATGTATATGTAACATACAAGTTACTCAAGAGCACAGTCAAGTTCCTTGAAGCATCTTCTTGAAGATTTTTTGGAGGGTCACCGTCACTACCAGACTACGTAAGTCAAGCTGCGTTCAATGTCCACCCTCTCTATTTGCTCATATCTTGAATGTTCGCAAGTCAAAGCAAAAATTTTTGAAAAATTCATTGGTCTTGTGTCATATTACAAGGCATCACTTCATACAATATTTTAATAAAATGAATCAATGTCTTAAACTCTTAAAGAAATTGGGTATACAACAATTGAGCTGTAACATGGAGCAACCAAAAGGGGAAAATAGGCACACAGGAAGACCATGAGACAACGACAACTTGACTGTGCCCAATGAGCCTTGGTAGAGCGAGGGAGATAGCGGACACGCTAACATTGCACGCTTGTTATAAATCATCACTCTATTTGTTGCTCCGGGAACAAAATTAGAGGAGGCAGCAGCAGCAACATGGAAGAAAAAGGCTATGAGGACAGACCTCATTATCGCTCACATAATGCATATGAATGGAAACTCAAGTGCATTTTTAATCAGCGAGCACATGTTCCTAACCAGAAACCAATACTGACCAGCACGTATCCAAAGGGGCTGAGTCTCTCCATGCAGACCTCGCTCCACTGGTCCGTGAAGAGGACATCTTTCAGTCGCTTGTTAATCATAGAGTTGACTTCCTGCAGCCTTGGAGACACATGACACAATGCACATGGGTCAGCCGGAGCGAGCAGAAGAGCCTTTGATCATCTCATGGATTAGCATTTACGACAGGAACAATGAGTGTAGTGCTACTGCGGATTAGTCACAACTGGATGTCAGGCCACGGCAATGTGGACGGAACTGTATATGGGCAAACTACATAATGCTGTGACAGAATACACTCACCCGATGATGTACATGTCGGTGTTCCCATCACCTATATTCAAGCCCAGCAAGGAGGTGATGTCATCAGGGGGCGTGGCTGACCCCACGTTCCAAGTGATGATGTGCACCCTGTTGGCAGAGACCTTTATTAACATTCTGCTCTGGCTCACTTATTTCCAGCCCATAGCAGGATCTAATGAAAATGATTGCAACCTTCGATCTAGCTTCTAGGTGGTTGAGTTATTTTGCTTTCCTTCTGGGTAGGACTGAACTGTTTGACGTGAGTGTTTAGTTCATGTTGTGCCTTTGCAATGCAGTGGCATTTCTGGCTAAATATTTTGGGGACAAATATTCACATGATACTTTCTGTACTTTATATTTAACTGAGGGCTGAAAGAAAACTTGCGCAATGTAATTTTAAATTGAGGGATTTTCAAGAAAATTATTTTACATCTATCAGCATATTTTGGACCTGTTCTGCAGTGGTCTTAACAATTGTGTTCTCTTTCTTTTATTTAAACAGTGTTTAGATTACTTATAGAGAACTGATTTAAAATTAATACACAGAAAGAAACTTTTGTATTTTTGTCAAAGCACGATCAACCCTAACAGTGCATCAGGAGAATGAAGTGGGCTTGGCCCATGTGCCAACTTTGCCATTGGGCTTCGGGGCACAAATGACCGCGCTTCAGGAAATTCTGTCTGTGGGATGGGCGATTGTGTCAGTGGTGTCTGCTAAATAGCTAAAAGGTTATTTCAATGGTGTAGTTTTATATTGAATCATACATTACAGTATTTGTGTCTGGGTGATACATAACATTGCCATTTATTTTTTCAAACTATAAATTTGCCCTGCTGTCATGATACAAACTAACATATAGTGTGCAGTGCAGTTCTCAAGCACAATAGAACCATACCAACCTACAACCATAATGAATCATTGTACTGTATATTTATGGCAATAATGGGAAGTTAAAATGCTTGTACAGAGCATTGAGGTGCTACTGTGCCTTTGTTGGCTGTCAAACCAAACTTGTATTGAGAAGCTGAGGGGAGGAATGTTCGCACATGAGGCAGGGAACTTGCCTGAAATCTTCGACAGTCTGGGCCTGAGTGTCGGCTGTGCCTGCAACAGACAGAGCTCTCTGGGCGTGAGGGTTCAGGTGAGAGGGTACAGCCTTGCTTAAAGGCGGGTAGGGCACTGAGGCAGCCCGGACCGCGTGGTGCCCCGGACCTTTTGGGCCGGCTTTGAAGTGGGTACCGGGCCGGTCCCCTGAGGGCCTGGCAGGTGGGCTGGAAGCAGCTTTTGCATGACTTGCCACGGCGCCATCTGGATTGCATTCACCCTGGTTATCGCCTCGTGTGGGCTCAGCTTTGGGTTCGCATACGTCAACGGACCCTTCGACTCTGGCACTTCTCTGGGGCCGCCGAGGCCTGGCAGTAACAGTGGGCAGCCCAGCGGTGGGTTCACATGTTGGATCTGAAGGATGCGGAGTCGTAGTTTGAGATGTTACTGTGTCTGCTGCTTCACTCAAGTTGTCTTTTGGCATCTGGCTTTGGGGAGGGTGGTCTTGGTCCATTTCTCGTGGTCTCTGTCACACAAAGAGGACACAACTCAAACAACGTTTGCATTTGAAGAATTTTACTGAAACAGAACACATCTGCCATTAAAGGGGCATTCAAAAGAATATTGGACTTGCCATCATTATCTCATTTACATCCATTTGCTACTTCATTAGGTAGACCTGTACATTACAATGAAATAAATATCCATTCATCCATTTTCTGTTCCGCTTTATCCTCACAGGGGTCGAGGGGGGTGCTGGAGCCGATCCCAGCCATCTTCGGGCAGTAGGCGGGGGACACCCTGAACCGGTTGCCAGCCAATCACAGGGCACACAGAGACGAACAACCATCCGCGCTTTTTGGATCGTTCAATGAGCCTGCCATGCATGTTTTTGGAATGTGGAAGGAAACCGGAGTACCCGGAGAAAACTCACGCAGGCCCGGGGAGAACATGCAAACTCCACACAGGGAGGCCGGAGCTGGAATTGAACCCGGCACCTCTGCCCCGTGAGGTCGACACACTAACCACTAGACCACCGGGCCGCCCAAAATGTACCAGAAAAGTTCAATTGAACCTATTGCTAAGTTCACGTCTTTGACACTGTCAACGATTGTGCTACAAACAACAACATGAGAGCCTGACTGAACGGCAACATGACTCCAGAAAACTGAGCACATCACAGCTTGCGTGTGAGTGTATTGCAGATCACTGGACTATGCAAAAATACCTCATGTTAAAGGCTGCTGAATGTATACCATCATTTAAAAGGCTACACAAAATATGAACTCAAATGCTCCTAGGTCATACAATTAGGAGCACGACCAAAATTCGCCAGACAGATATGCCTCAAAAATTGCATAAAATCTTTGCAAAAAATATCGGCGGTCAAACATCATCATGCGTGACGCTGCGTAAGACATCAGCAAATGTTGCGGGAATCGATGAGCATTAAAAAGATGACATGCACAAAGGTTTTGGTCACTTGCTATGCCGGAATAACATTTGACAGAAAACACAACAAGCATTACACAGAATAGATTGTTTTAGTGTTTGGAGGCTCCACTCTACAGTATTTGCAGTTTTGCTGTATACGTTGCGATGGTAACAAAAGTTTGCTGTTGTATTCTTGTTTCACTCTCGGCCTTTTTCCATGTACTGTATGAGGAGTCAGTTGAGCTAACTCTATTGACCCAGCAGGATGTCTTAGTTAATCATTGAGACTCTCCCCTGCCAGGTCTATTTCCTGCTCTTGTAAAACCTTGGAAATCCATTCTTGTAGCAGCATGAATCGCTCAAGGACACCAACCGTAAAACAAACACATAAACAACAACGATATATAGAGTATGTATGTTTTGTGTCAGAAAATAGAAGACCAGTGCACACTGCACATTGTCCCGTCTCGCCGAATGCGTCTACCTTTTCTGCAGTAACCAGGGAGATGCTCGGTCACTTCATATCAACTCAGAGCACCTGACAAACATGAACACACCAAACACAAGGAGGAGCTGCATGAGCCACAACATGGCACAAGTCAGCAGCACAAGACACGCTAGCTGGAGCCAGCGTGGCAAAAAAGGAGGAATTTAAAGCCCATTTAGTCAAGCAAAAAAGCTACAAAGTATTTAATCCTTGAATAATAACTGTATTCCATTCTGAGGGATGAGAATGCCAAGACACAAAAGAGATTTTAATCAAAACCAAGTGTGAGCCACAATACATCGAATAATATGATGATCCTGATAAAAAACATGATATTCCATTTGGACTATTCAAAACGGTCACGTTAAAATGCAATCCAATCTCTCGCTTGTTATATTCCCTTCACCAATGATGACGAAAAATAAGACATGGATTTCTTCTTGTGCGGGAGACTTCAAATAAGAACGCTGTAAAAACCTGAGCCAGATCCATTAGTCTGTGTGCAGAATGACTGATGTAAGTTTGCATGAAGATTTTTTGGGGAAAAGGAAGAGTCACTTTATGCTCTTGTGTGTCCAAGCACACTATGCAACAAATTATGAATTGATGCAATGCCCACTGTGCTGTGTCCTGATTACACATGACCTTAAGGAGAGGGCAACCGTGACTTGTGGCAAAGGGCTTCACATGCCCATACTTGCTCTTATCTTTGCCTGGCAGTTATGTGTTCGTTCCCATGGTCCGTGGACGGCTCTTAGCAGGGGAGGGCTGTATAATGAAGGTCAATGTGGCCAGCGGGTGGGTCGGAAGAAACGCAAGATAGATGGACGGTTGAGCGAGATGTCCTATTTTAGTGGCATCTTTGCAGTACAAAACACTTCCTTGGGGTACTGTCTATTTAATCCCCCACTCTCCCCTCTCTCTTTTACTGTCTCTAATCCTCACTCTGGAGCTCCACTTGACCTAACTTCCATGCATTCAATCTTCTGACTAATTGTCTTTATCAAGTTGCTGTTTTACTTTACTTTCATCTCTACGATGATCTTTCCGCTGATGTCATCTTACCAAAGGAAGTCAAATCAAGACGCCATAGACAGGACAAACAAAAAGGCATTAAGGCTCTGGTGTCGACATACATGCTGTCAATTGCACTTGAAAGTGGCTAAAATATAGTGACATGCATTTTCACTGTACCCGCAATGAAGGACAAAATGACAAAAACAAACACCAACAGATCAGAAGAACATCTTGAGGTCAGGTGGAAGCGAAGCCGCGCACAGTCAAAGAAACATTCAGTGCGGCTGATCTTCCTTTTTTTTTTCCTTTTGAAATGTATGTCACAGCAAGAGCAAAACTGATTTTTAACGCCAGGAACATTCAGGACAGATTAGCATTTCGTATTCTGCTCACGTCCGCAGAGGGGAGAGTGGAACAATTTGATAATAGCAAATGTGTCATGGTGTTTACATGCACCCTCCTGAGGGCGAGAGAGATGCAAGTGGAGTGGATGTAGGGGAAGTCAAGGAACGAGCTCGATGTAGTCCTATGTAGACCCCCAGGTTGATTTCTGACAACATTGATAGCTCTGAATAGCTACTGATGGTTTTATTTTTGAGTTAGTTAGGAGTTAATGAAAAGACGTGCACAGTCTGATAACGCGCATTGCGAGCTGTTTTGGATTTCTTGTATACAAGTGCATTTGTGCAAGAGTTCTACAACACTGCAAACTAAATTTAGACCACGGATGGGTAACTCGCGATCAAGGGGACGCACAGTCAGACTGGCCCTCGATTAATTTTTGAAGATAAAATTGTTTACTGTATAGAGCAGTGTTAAGTTGTGACGTATGATGCACCCTTGATGCAGAGGCGATGAACTTTACTGCCTTATCCTGCAGTGTTATACAGGTAGGTGGGTCAGCATACTATGTTGGGAAATTTTGAATGACATGCAGGACAAACAGATAGTAGCATAGTAACAATCTCTGAGTGCGTTGATTCTTATGATAACTTGCACAAAATGAGTCGTCGTCCTTAATGTCGGTTTCCTGTTCGGCAGTTTTGCGCCATCTTTGAATGAGAATTTTCCCATGATGTGTTTATGTTTTGTTTGCGTCAGAGCTAGTTTAGTTGAGGAGTGGATCTTTTGCAATTAAAATAAGTTAAGATACTCAACTGGACAGTGGTTCATTAAAAAACAGACAGGCATATATTATGTCCGTATTTAAAATGTGGTTTTTGTCACACATCTGGTGAGGAAGTACATGGTTCTATGTGGCCCTCCCTAGTAGAACTGATGAGAAATTGTGGCCCCTTGCATTGTTTAACTTGCCCATCCCTGATTTAGTCTAATACACATTTTGTGAAATTATTCCTCAATCAGAAGTTATTGGCATCAACATGTGTTCGGATTATAAGGGGGTCTTGAGAAAAATATCTCCTTTGTATGGAGGTCCCTGAGATAAAAAGGTTTGCAAACCCCTGCATTAAATTATTCATGAAGGTCCAGTGAATGTAAACAGCAGAGTCACACTGTCATGTGCAGCCTCCGAGCTTAGTACCTATCATGTTTGGTCCACATTGCCTGTTGTTTCATTTTGACATCGCAGCCAAAAGAGAGTGTTGTCATTTAGGGCCTCCAGGGCCTTATGTGCCAGTAAGGGGGCTGGGGGCACCCATGATGACCTTCACGCTAATGACATGCTACCACAGCTGGAAATGTTTCTTCCAGGTCCTAGTGCCTAACACTCCGCAGTGTTCTGCTCAGCATGGCGCGTCGTGTTCCTGATCAGCCAAAGCTTCAGTGACGGGATGTCAAAACTATTTTGTTAATAGTACATAATAAATGTCCAACCATCCATTTTGTATCGCAACTTTTCCTCACTTAGGTCACTGTTCAGCTGGAGCCCATCTGACACTTAAAGACAAAATAAACTTTCACACTTACATTCACACATATGGGCAGCTTCACTTAACATCTCATGTAGATATGATCAGAAAAGTCAAATCCTTGTTAGATTTGACAACATTCACAGCCAATGAATGACTGACTTATTGAGACCCATATCATGTGCCAGTTGGGGGACCTGATAAGTGTAACTGACACTCAGCTGGTTGGAGGAACTAAAACCCACAGCACAGGTGGACTGAAACTTAAGCTATTGGAGTCTAATGTGTGCACACTGATGACTGCAAAGGGCTGAACAACTACAAAGGAGTCATTTCGCTGCTTACGTGTTCCTTCCTGTCAAGACCCGAGCAAAAGCGTTGCACAAGTAGCACATCTTCATACCATTGACTTCTCAAGAGGAAGTGAGTGAGCGATATTAAGGCCAATTCAACTCAAATGAAAAGAAGCAGGCACACACATTATCACCTAGTACTATACAAAAATGCATGTTTGCATGACACAGGAGCACACCACAATTTAGCTCTAACACTTGACATACTTTACATACAGTAATGCAAATGTGTCCTGTCGGTTCCTCATTTAGCTATAGCCACAGTGTGACCCTGGGTCAGAGCTCATTTGCATATCGCAAAAGAAATGACATCTCTGGCGGATGCGTATTCATGCGGCCTAATTACACAATGGCTTCAAGGACATTTGAGTGATTGGACAAAGAGGATGAGGGTCATATGATTCCCTGTCGTTCCGTCACGATGCTTGTTGAGTGTCTGCATGTTTTATATATCTATATGTATATCTATCTACATTTATATCTATATAAGTATATCTTTATCTATATATGGACACAAAAAGAGCTTGACAGGTTGATGGCAAGAGTTTATCAGAACTACTGTGACAATCAAAATGAGACCCCTCAATGGAAATATATTTTACTGACACCAAATGGCACCATATAGTGCACAAATGGTGTACAAAAACAGCAAATAGGTGTGTTTTTCAGAATTTAACGTGATTAACTTAATTTGACTTACTAGTGAGCACAACAGAGTGTGTAGTTGTACATGAAACGTAGAAGGGGAGCTTGCAATCTTCAACAATTTCAAGAACAAAAAAGGTTTTATTGTATTACTTAAAACAGTCATGACTTGAAAATAGTAGATGATAAATAATCGAGTTGTTACCCCCAGAAAAGCATGTTATTTGTAACAGAATATCACTATAACACCAAATGTTGGTTTGAAGTTGTGTTTTTGGAAGGGTGCTGGGTGTACCCATGTGCAGTCTGTCTGATTGTTTATTTTTTCTTGGGTGAAGTGGTTTTTTTGTATCACAAATTTGAGGCACAAGATGGTGCCAGAAATGGTTGATTTGTTTTCCCACAGGTCATATTTATCATCAAATCATCTTCTGCGGGTGTGGGGGTGTCAGTGGAAACTCCTCCTTGAATACAATACAATACAACATTGAATGAATGCTCAAACAGGCTTCCATAAATTAACATCAAAATAACGTTTTTTTTTAAACCAAATTAACAACGACTGGAGAGGTTTTTTAATGAGGTCCTTCTATGGAAGCCTGCATTTCGATGTGAACGCCAAGAAAAGCAACACATCCGTGCAATTGTCATGCACACAAACGAGACACTTTCACAGCATAAATACAAAGATGACGTAAACACGCTTGCGGATGTTTATATTCGTCACTCACCTGTTTTGTGCTGATTTTAAAAAGATGATAGTTCTTCAGACGTTACCATAAAACAAAAAAAGAAAAACAAGAAAGACTCTCTTAGGTTGACAATAAAAGACAAGGTTGGTGACAGCATCGGCATCCCAGCGCCTGCCTGTCGTCCTTGGCCAGAGGGAGCGCAGGAGGTGGGCTGGATGTTGGAGACACACGGCCAAGGCAGCGGGCAGGCAGGCAGGCAGGCAAGCAGCAGGCTACATCTCTTGGACACAACCACCTACTCTCCCCCCTCCTCCTCCTTCTCCTCCTGCTTCACCCAGCGCGCGTTAAACAGAGTCAAGCACCGCCTTGTTGCCACCGAGTGTCCTTCAAACCAACCCTTAGGAGTACAACGCTTCCGGAAACCGCCGGTGAAGGACACTTGACGATTCGAGGCGAGTATTGACTGGACGGCAACGTGACACCGTCTACTTGTACTAGTCTGGAACGACCCCCACCCCACGCCCACATCCACAGCCACACCGACGGCTTCTGTTTGTGACTGGACCAAACGCCGGCTGCCGAGACATGATTGGATCGAGATAAGAAGAACTAAAGTGGCTGCAGCGTGCCCTTATTCGGCGGGGAATTCAAGCCATACCGCCCCCCGATGGTCACAATGGAGAAGTGCACAATCAGGAAGAGCACAAGCTGGTTCAACAGACACACAAGAGCAGGGGCGTATTTAGTCATTTTGGTGGTACGAGACGAACCCGCTCATGGGACCCCCCATTGCTGAAGTTTTATTCTCATCTCTACTTTATCCTCCTTTGCAGACACTGACAGCTGTGCTACCGCAACTCGCAAGAGTGTCTTGTTATTGTCGGTACTACATATTCATTGTCACTTTGAAAAAGCTTGAAACAGCAGTTTTGATTAAAAACATGTTTCATTACCTCTTGCCTTCTCCTCTTCTTTGGCCCCATTGCCCTGGAGTTCCAGCAGCTCCTATATTTTGTTGTTCTACTTCTTCCTTTCATAACTTTGCTGCTGTGAATTGGGAATTTCTCCATTGCGAGACTAATAAAGGTTTTCTTATCTTATCTTATCTTAACTCCGCTTCATTTTGCTCACAATCGCGCCAGTAGGTTTGTTTTGTTACTGTCTTCCTGGATCACGTCTGCACATGTGCAGTAGAGAATGGAATAGTTCCATTCATGAGAAGGGAGGGGAGAGCAATTAAACAATCATAATGGATTAGATTTTGATGTTTTTTTTTTATGTGGGTGAGTTAACATCCATTTTTTTTGTTGCTTGAAACCAAATAAAAATGTAACCAGCTTTTATGAGACATTTGGGGCCACAGGCAGTGGTGTCAGACTCAAGGCAAAGCTGTACTGAGTTGAGTTGCACAGAAGTGACTCAGCTCTTACTGAAAATACTTTCAAATCCAGGCTAAACACTTTTTTTTAACCATACCTTCTAAACATTTGAAAAATCTTGTTTTCTTTTCGTAATTTTAGAAACCTACTTCTATTTATTTACTTTTAAACGTTTTTAAAGTTTTATGTGAATGTGTTTAAATGTTAATTGCCAATGTACATTCCCTTAGTAATTTTGGAAAGCTACTTTTGTTTTCTCTGCTTTGCTTTTGAATGTTGTGAATTGTTGGGCTACACCCTGATATGGTTGCCAGCCAATCACAGGGCACACATAGACGAATAACAATTTGCACTCACACCGAAGGACAATTTAGAGCACAGGTGTCGAAGTCCGGTCCTCGAGGGCCGGTGTCCTGCATGTTTTCCATCCCTCCCTGCTGCAACACACCTGATTCAAATGATCAGGATCACTATCAGGCTCCGATAGAGCTTGCTGATGAGCTGTTCATTTGGATCAGGTGTGTTGCAGCAGGGAGGGATGGAAAACATGCAGGACACCGGCCCTCGAGGACCGGACTTCGACACCTGTGATTTAGAGTGTTCCATCAACCTGCCATGCATGTTTTTAGAACGTGGGAGGAAATCGGAGCACTTGGAGAAAACCCACACAGGCACGGGGAGAACATGCAAACTCCACACAGGAAGGCCGCAGCCGGATTCGAACCATGGACCTCTGCACATGCGAACCAGTAGATCACAGTGCAGCTTTCCTTGAAAAATATGTTTTGAAAAAAATGAAAGTGATTTTTTTTTCATGCCTTAAGAGTAATAAAAACACTTGAGAAAAAAAATCCTGATGCATGTTATCATTTGTTCATGAAAAGGGAAAACCGTTTTTTTGGGGGGGGGGCTTTGTTGGTAGTAGTGCCAACTTATCAAAACAAGTATTGTATAGTACATGACAAACTGTAAAAATGTACTTTTCTAACGAAGTACGTGTCAATTATTTATTATTAAAATAAATAAATGTATATTTAAAAATAAATATTTTGATTCAAATACAAGCGTTAAATCTCTACTTTGTTACACTAGTACTGCATTTGTGCTTTTACTTTAGAGTGGGTACTTCTACCACCACTGAAAACAATTACAAAATATATTTGTCTTTATGTGCTTTAATTTAATAAACCGTATCCGAATGGCAATCTCAGGGCCTTTTACCACGCCCACTCTCACGTGAAAAACCTTTGACGTGGCACGCCATCCGGATGTGACATCCCCAAGCACTACCCTGATCTTCCCCCCGCCCCTCCTCATCCTCACTTCTGCTGTGCATCCTCTTCAGGTGTGTGCGGCGCCCACATCCCTTGAGGATCGTCGTGAGTTGTGCTTCGGAACTATGTGGCTGCTACTTTTCAGTCTGCTTTCCTGTGCGTCCTCATTTGAAGTGGACGTCGACAAGCTGGAGGGGCTGGCTCGAGCCAGGGTGGAGGTACTGTACAGGACAATACTCGACACTGATCGAAAGAGAGAGCGAGAGCGGTGTACGAGGAGCTTCTCTGTTTACGACACTTATATATTACAAACTGCGCAAGACTACGTTTACATTGTTGTATATTTATGGCTTTAGACACAACTGCAATTTTGATTTGACTACTACGTTAGCATAGGTTACTGACTCGCAGACTCAGACGCGTTCCGACGTCAGTACGGAACCTAACTCGTAAACGACGACCGCTCAGTGATTTATGTTTTTGTCCTTTGATAAGTGAATGGATGCCGGTGTGCGCACGCGTAGATGAAAACTAAAACGGCTGCACGACGCTAAGAAGCAAAAAGAGAACCTGTTGGCAATATAGGACCAACATCACATTGACACTGTAGGACGTTTTAAAGTACAGAAAATGCGTTAACAGGACACGACGTGCATAAGCAAAGGTGTGATGAAGTAGTGTAACATTGAAATACATGATGCATTTCCTTAGGAGAATACCTGGCTGGCCTCCACAGTTTAACAAAAGCGTGCTGTCACCATTGTTGGGACAGAAATGCCTGTAACTTGAAACCCGAGTCTCTCGTTTCTATAAAACAGTTTGAGCATCTTTCCCACAGAGCATGGAAAGAAATTAATACAAATTCTACACGACTCACAAAATGTTAAGGTTTTAGGGCTTTTGGGTGAAATTTTGGAATGAACCTAAAATGCACTACAGTGTTTGGTGAATTTGATTTGACCTGTCCACTTTTACATCATGGGCAACATGTTTGTGATGATGCTTTGGTCATTTATGTTGTCAGCTGCTTTGATTCTTGAGTCCCTGTGAAATGGTGAAAAATCATCAGTTTCGGCCTGCCACCCACGTCAAGAGGGTCACCATCATGCCCAAGGGAATCCAACTGGGCCGGCGAATCAGCATACCTGGTTCAAATGATCAGGGGCTGATCATTTGAATCTGGTGGGTTGGAAGATCTTGGGAGACACATGCGTTGTGTTCTCCGAAAGCCATGTTTTTGGCCAAATGACACCACTTTGAGCCCAACTCAAGCACATGTGGTCTCTAAATTCGCACGCAGGGTCCTTCAAAGGCTCCTCCTCATGTAGCCACCGTGGATCGGATAAACTGTGGTTACCTAATTTGGAGAGGATTCATGTGAATTTTGAATCCACGTGCACTGAAGTCGAGTTGTGCTATCATGCGGCCTTCAAAGGACGGAGCCTGTGAATTTTGGCATAGCTCAAAAACAGGCCTACTTGAGCAACCTTGCTTTATAATATGTTGATGCAGAACAGGACTAATGCTGTCTTTGAGGAAGGTGGGAAGTTGGATTTTTCCCACCTCCGACAACTAAGCGTGCACTAGACCATTCAGAATGTATTATCTAAAGATTGTGAATCGTGATTTACAGTTATTAGATTGACATTTCGCAACACATTGTTTCCTAATGGGCTTTGCTGTCATTTCATTGTTGATGGTTCCGTAGTAAATGTAGTGCATTACTGCACAAATCTGATGACATAAACATAACAAAATATGTGTTTCGAATATCTCTTTGCAGACATGTGGTGGATGACAGTTGAATAGACTCAGAGAGGTAAATTGTGTTGGAATAACACAAATGTTGTCAATCATCTCTGGCAGACATGTCACAGATTGTCCACTTTTGTGTGCAGGTCAAAGCCTTTGTGGTCCAGGACATTCCTCTTTAGTATCCTTTTGGAAAAATAACACCTTCACAGCTGAATGAGATTCAACTTTGGAAAATGAGATCGATGGACTAATGTCATCTGCTATCTGTCCATAATCCTGAATTTCCCTTTTGACGGATTATACGTTTAATCCAATTAAAATGTAACCTGCCAACTAATAAATATTGGTACAAAAAAACTAAAATGGCCTGTCATATTTAACATCTTGGCTTTGTCTATGTACAATTTGTGCTCTATTGAGACAATGTAGTGATGTAATGACATTAATCAAAACAAATCAAAGTACCGTATTAGCCTTTTGCACAGAACCGGGTGTAATCAGCAGTGGACATCTATCGGTCCTTGACCTGCACTCCCTTAGCCATAACCTGGTGATGAAGCACATTCCTGGGGCCGACCCTGAGCTTGTCCTCCTGAACCATTACTATGAGGAGCTGGAGGTAAAATCCATTTTAAGATTGAGATGACATATGCACACGCGCGGAGAGTAAAATGTTAATTCCTGTGATTGCAGTTTTGTTTTGGGCAATATGCACTCTATTGTAATATTTTGGTTTATTTAGCAACTGAGGAGATCTAAGCCTTGGTGTCTTATTGTTTCCTCAGCGCATCGCCTTGTCTGATATGACACGCTCGGAGATCAATGAGCTTCTGGGCAAACTGGGTTTCTACAAGAAGCTCCAAGCAGATGACGAAGTGCCAGAAGAGTTCCGGTTTGCTCCCGCCAAAGACAGCCCGTTTAAAAGTGAGCCAGAGTACAAGCCCGCCACTGCCTCTGTGGTCACTCAGAACACCCCTGCCACCTCAGAGCCTGAACCCGAGGCCAAGCACCTTGACCTATAACAATGTTACAATATGGGACTGCTGGACAAGGCCATCAGATTCTGGAAAAGAGGAAGGACAAACTCTTTGCTTTACTATTTTTTTTTCCTCTGCACTGATTGGTTCATAGCATATCATTTGTCATTCTCGGTTATGTGTTGGCTATTTTGAGGTCGCCTCACTTGTGTCCTCTTGTGTCTGCTTCCGACTCACTGAGCTACCTAATGAAGCCGCAGACTAAAAATCTGTTGATTGGTCTGAGGCTGATGCTACATGTACTGGTGGGTTGGCTGCTACACACAAGATTCAAGTGTCACCACTGTAAAGGAATAAAATGTTTACAACAAATGCATTATTATGACTTTACTGGAGAAAGTAGATTACAATTGGGCTGAGTATAGGCATGTTTATAAATTGGCCCACCATCGTTTGAGGAGACATCAGGAACAATTCAGGATTACCTCATGAAATAATTCGTTCAAAGACACTACATTGAAAAATACAGTAGGTGTTTTATCTGAGTTTTTTGAGAATACATTTGCAACTAATTAGTCAAATTTTCAACTAAATCGTCCTATATTTTCACAAATTTGACTATTGTCACTTAAAAAGCTCCACAAAACCATCTAAAACTCCCCTTCAGTTGTTCCTGAAAAGCATTTGAGGAGAAAATGCGAGTTTTCCTGAATGATGCCCTTACACCGCATCGGTTGCAGAAGACCATGTTTAGACACCCCTTGAGAAATAATCAACACAAAAAAAATTGGTTTGTCTGCTTTAATGAATTCACATTGAGGTGCGGTGCACAGAAACATCTTATGTACAACACTCCCTGCCTTATGTGTGGAAAGTTTGTTTCTTAGTTGGTAGCACTGGGATCGCATTTCACTTATGTAAAGAGCTACAGAATAGAGTGAATACATTTAGTTTTATCCAACCAAGATCTTAAAACACTGCTCATTGTAGACATGAAAACCTCATAAAAAATCTTTTAGCTGTAAAATATACACATGCACTCTCATGTTTGGTGTTTTGTTTCAGCTGAGAGCTGGTGCTCATCAGCCCCCCCCCTTTTTTTTTTAAATCTGTTACTAATAGTCCCCCCCGCCCCCACATCATTAAGAATAAACAAGCGTGATGGTGGCGGCAAGATCACTGATCATTTGTCATCGTGACACACACAGTACATAAGTTTTGTCCAAAACTGATGCTTGTTTTCAGTAGCACTGCAGACCAGACAGCTGAGTTTACATCGATATGAATACAGATGTATATGTACTACAATAAACAACCCAGTGCGAATGCATTAAATAGTAATATGTTAAGTGACACCAGAAGGAGAATAACTTTAAATAATAAAGTGACCAGGAGTTGGGTCCAAAATGTCAAAGTACCAACATTAAATGCCAATAACGCATCACAAGAATTCTTGTTTAGTGGGAACGATGACACAGAATTTACAATACAAAATAGATGTATAAATAAGTTAAAAAGAGAAGTAGTGTATATCATTGCCTCTCTTGCTGCGTGTCACTCGCATACATATGACTGAATTGAAAATTTTAAAAAGTAGCAAAAAGGGTGACTGTTTTGAAAATGTCATGTTTAAAGTTAGTTCCTTCAACAGGATCTTGTTGGAAAATATATATGTGATTTTATCCATGAGAGGACAACACCAACACTGCTGACGGAATTATTTAACAAACTCACACACAATCCACCCTGCCTTTGTTTGTTAGCGAACATGCGTCCCGGCACACCGAAGCTCAACGTTTGTCACCAAACCTACGTCAAAGGTCGGAGGGCCGACCCATGGCCATCTCGTGCCTGCGCAGGTGGTTGACCAGAGACTGCACGTAGGTGAACACGCATTTGGAGTCGGGTTTGTTTCCCATGATCATCATGTCCTCCACTTCCAGCAAAGGCATGCAGTTGGCGTATGTTCTGCGGGGAGGAAGCAAAGACACACAGCATGAGCGGGATGACGACTAGCTAGACTTGTGATGAACACGCGAGAACTACAACCGTCTTTCTATTTGAAGGAGGAATGGACTGAAGTATACCAAATTTGCTTGCAGGCCACACATTGGAAAACGAATCTTGTTGGTGACTACTTCATGTGTGAGCACTACACATTTTGACCACATGGTGCCAGTATGCAAACATAATGCAGTACTTGTATCTCAGCATTCTTCACAATGCAGTCAATCAAAAATGGCCAAGACAAGAGTCTGCCCTACTGCATGAGAAGAAACAACTTCGTAAAATAAGTCATTTCCTATTTTAGGGGCTGCAGTCAACCATTCGTTCTTTAATAGCATCTTTAAAAGGGTTTGATAGTCTAATGCATAAACACATGTAAACTATCACTGAATTAAAAGAAACCACAGGCTACAACACAAACTCGCAGATGATTATTTTTCCCCCTTTCTGTTTTGTCTCCAGAGCTGTCTGTTTGAAACAATGTGATACATTTACTCCTTTTAGAGCGTTTAAGAGCAGGTCGACCTGGCCGGATGCCTATATCAAGTCTGGATAATATGCACAAAGAGACACAAGCATACCATGTTTGGCTCTTTTCTTCAAGGGAAGTCAACCCCCCAAATTTTCTTTACATTAATATGTTCTCTGCACCCCCACTAGTCTAAACACCGCATTCAGATTAATATTGTGTTTGTGGAATACAAGTTAAGCAGTAAAATTCTCCCATTTTTGTCCATTTCAGGGGGCGGCCATTTTGCCATTTTCTGTCAACTGAAAATGACATCACAGTTGCTCACGTCTTAGGTAACAATCAATCATGGCTCAGCTTCAGATAACAGGTGACCCGTGACTGGTGGTTACCTGAGCCTTGAGCAACTGTGATGTCATTTTCAGTTGACAAAAAATGACAAAATGGCCGCACTCTGTTGCTTAACTCAAATTCAGAAACACAATATTAATCAGAATGCTGTGTCTAAAAGTGTAGAGGCGCATAAAACATGTTATTGTAAAGAAATTTCCTCACAAACATTTAACGGTACATGCTCTCATACACACAGTCTAGAACGGTTGTAGGCAAATCCAGTCCTAGAGCGCGGCTGTCCTGCCTGTTTTAGAAGTTTCACTCCTTCAATCACGTGATTCAAATGATCAGGTTTGTTATCAAGCTTCTACAGAGCTTGGTAATGAGCTGATCATTTGAATCAGGTGTGTTGAGGAGAGACACTTCCAAAACAGGCAGGAAAGCGACGCTCTCGGACCGGACTTACCAACCCTTGATCGAGAAGAACCACAGTGAGGCTTCCTTTTCCCTCTCTCACCATGGGTTCGCTTTTATGCTCGGGTGGGCCTTTAGGACGAGTTTTTGGTTTTAACCAGGCCCTTGGTCACCAGACCTCTGTAGAACTCCTGCAGGTATGTGTACACACACTTCCAATCAGGTTCGCGCATCTTCACCATGTCATCCACATCCAGCAGCTGCGGACAGTCCACTAGTTTCCTGCGCCCGGAAAGAATCGGGAAGGAGGACACAGACAAAGAGGAGGAGGCAAACGACAGAAGGAATGGAGAGAAAATGAGATGAAAGAAGAGGACAACAACAGGTGGGAAAGACATGAAGGAGATAACGCAAATAATGCAGTGAGCAGCCATAATACAGATTCAGTGGACAGAGACAGCAGAGAGACAAACAAACAAACATTACATTGGCAGTGTTCACACAAGTGGCAATGTGTTGACATGCTTCTTAAACATCATGAAACATCATACATATGTGGCATAGAATACACAAACAGACATAAAACAAAATTGTCAAATGAGCGTCAGGCGATGCTCATTTAGCTTTTTTTTTTTCCTTCAGTAGACTAATACGACTACTCACACTCAGGTGAAACACGTGTACGTGTAGTGTGTGCATGTGTGACTTCAAATAACCCAAAAAATGCAAGTGGACTCAGTACATGTGAAGAGTGCACATTCACACACAAGCACACGGGTGGTGACTGTGGTCAGGTGACAGTCCAGAAACCACGAACCAGTGTGGGCATGGTGCACTTGGGTGACATCACAGGTATAGTATGATGACAGGAGAAATTAAAATGAGCGTGGGGAGAGGAGAAAAAAGAAGGGAGACGATATTGCATGGCTGATGGATGGACCAATTTTTTGGGGGGGAGTTGCCTACAGATCTGTGGCTTCGAAAGGAGATGAGAGTACAAGAGTCGTGATAGTCAGTCTTATATTAACCCTTTCATGCACGCTGTAAGTTGATAACCTGATAAGCTGTCCAATGTAGTAACCGCTGTCCTTGAAAGGATTAATATTATTTAATATTTTTTTATTTGATTATTTATTTGAATTATACCCATTTAAGTTATTCTATATCTTCCTTCTGTATGAGGGTCCTCTGTTTATGACCAAGTTCAGTCCCTGCAACAGCAATGTAACACAAATTTGTACAGAAGTCATAATGTGCTGTAGTCATAGGACCATGTGCTAATGCAATAAAGTCAGAACAAACAAACAAAACAATAAATTAGAAGCATGCCTTCTTATGAAACGTACTGATGTATTTGGCTGCAGCTGTGCAAACTAGCTCGTACGCCATTCATAACCCCAAAAGGTCATAATTGTAATGACTCAAACCACTTTGTGGCTTAAAAACACTTCGTCATAAATATAAAACAATCAAATGAAAAAAGCTGTACACGAGTGTCCTTTCTTATTCCGTGTGACAGTTCGTAGCCTTGGAATGCCATGACGGGACTGTCGTAAACTGAGGACACCGTGGATGAAAAAGTAATCTATTCAAATGTGTAAAAAGGGCATTGCACTGGCTTGACATTTTAATGCATTTTCCATTCGATTTCAAAATATGAAAACATTGGCTGAAACATTTGTTTCTAGGTCCCTCGCTTGTGTAGCTAAATAAGGTAAAAAGCATCTCTCAATTGAATGCAGAGCAGTTCTGTACCACTGCAAGTCACAAACCGAGACATGTTAAATGACTATATCTCTGATTGTAATTAATATCGCTCTTGCATTAGCTTACCAGACTGTGCAGATGTAACTGATCTCGTAGCCCATGAGTGCATATATTAGTTGTAGATCCAAGTTCTGCTGTCAATAAGGCTGAATTGGGTGAGCATACTGTGCATGGTCTATCCATGTCAGAAACCTCAGCAGCGCTGAAGTGGTCAGTCACCAGCGACCGAGTCAACCTAGTCGGATGTTTGAACTCACTCTGCATTGCTGAAGGCCACCTCAAAGTTATGCCTGCGGTTGCTGGGACTCAGGGAGCTGTAGTCGAAGGCCTCTGGAAAGAAGTTGTGTACCAGGGCGCAGAATGCCATGCCGTTGCTCCAGCTGGAT